CACTGCCATGAAATGCCACAGAGAAACCTGCAGCAGGCATGCCAGTCATCCCCCAACGCCCACTGCCTACAGAGGAAAGGGTGGCCCTGACCCCTGGAGGGGTGAGGGGCACAGATCACCATCTGGGAAATGCTGTCAGGAGAGTCCCCAGCCCTGTGGGCAGAGATTGCAACAGCGGTTCCTGGTTAATGAGTTCTAGCTGGTCAGCATGTCGCAAGACAGAGAAGGAACAGCCAAGCCCATAGCACTGGCCACGGGAACCCTGGCCAGCACTGCCCTGCCCCATCCCTCCCCCAAGGGACTTTAGGGGAGACCTGGCCCCAGGATCAGGGGCATTCCTTCCTGTGATTAGGCCCAAGAGAAGACAACGTTGGACAAAACCTTACAAGTAAGAACAGCAATCCTGCCTCTTCTGAAGCCAGAGAGATCTTTCCCATTGTGTTTAATTTAAACTCTATTCACTGAACTCCACAGCCATCAGGAAGGGAGCCCTGGCCTGATCCCATGACTCATGGAGCCAGCAACCTGCACCCACTTGTCCCATCACTGCAGCCCATGGCAGCCCCATCGCTGTCCCGGACAGTCGGGACAGTCTCGGCACTTCACCAGTCTATTGCTACTCGTCCTAGCTGGGTGACCTCAGAACACGTAGCTGATTCCAGTTCCTTCCCAGGGCCCCTCCAGCACACCAGCACCTGGCTCACTCGGCTCTAACCATAGTGGTCTATCCTCCCACCTCAGGACCTTTGCACCGACTGTCCCTTCTGCCTGGGATGCTGGGATGACCTGGGTTGAAACTTGTCACTGATCAGATCTCAACTCCGTTGTCAGAGGGGGTCTCTCAGCCAGTCAAAACGGCACTCCACATCAGGGTCTTTCCCAGTCTCCCCTTTTAACTTGTTCATAGCATGGATTACGGCTGAAATAAATCACCATCTGTGTGGGCTGACCCTCCTGAAAGGTCCATTCTATAAGGAAGGAGGCTGTTCTATTTTCCTACAAGCCCTGTACCTTACCCAGTGTCAGTGACTATTTAAAGAGTGCCCACCTCCTGGCCTGCCATTCAAGTTCGTTATAGCTGGGCTCCAACTTACAGTACCTCTTTGGGTTGTATACCATAACTCCTCTCAAGGACCCTGAGCGCCACACACAGCACACAGCACATCATCCACAGGCCATTTCACTGCTCCCTACAATTTCCTTTCCTCATTTTCCCATCTGATAAACTCCTACCTACCCTGCAAAGCCCAACCCAAATGCCCCTGCCATGTAGAGTGGAAAGAATAAAGACTTGAGATTTAGACTGGAAATTAAATCCTGGCCCCACACCTCCTGGCTTGAAGAAGTCACTTCTTTTCTCTTGATCTCAGTTGTCCCCTCTGAAAAATGGGATTACCAATTCCTACTCCATTGAGCTGACTGACCATCCTGTCAGCTGGCTATTTCTCACAGTCCTCTCTGGAGGTTCCTGAGCTCTGGACACCAGCTATACCTGGGAATGGACAGCAGCAACTAGTGAGGGGCTATCTGTCCACTCTGACCTCATCTGGCTCTACCAGCCGAGGCCCAGCCTCTGCACTGGAGGACTCTGTTGTGGAGTCCTCGGGTCCTGTCCCTCCATGGCCAAGCATTTCTCAGCCCTCTCCACCCCGGTCTCAGCCTCGGCTACTGGGCTCTCCAGGAATCATTGTGCATGTCTGTGTCTATCCTGCACAAACCAAAATACCGGAACCTCGTTAAAAACCAGTGATGCTTGTGGGCTGCACAACCACACCTCAGGGGTGTGTGACCATCGTGGGTATCCTGGGCTGGAGATCAGGATACACAGGGGTGCCTAGGCACAGTGGGCCTGAGGTGCATGGAGAGGGAGAGGTTGGGGTGACACGGCCCAACCTGTGGCTCCAGGGTCCCTCCCTGCACCTCTCCAGGAAGAATGATGGATGAGAAATGCTGGGCTCCAAGAGCAGGGGCAAGGCCTGGAGGAAGAGGGCAGCGACCGGCCTGGAGGAAGAGGGCAGCGACCAGCCTGGCAAGGAGAGATGTGGTGGACTGCACTGGAACAGGATGTCTTTCCTCTGCCACCCCTCCCCTGCACCCAACTCAAGGGTCTCTGGAAGTCACCAGGGGCTCATCTAGCTCCAGAGGAACAGCCATGACTTCCAGAGAAGGAGCGCTGCTCAGCCCTGTGGAAGTTTCAGAAGGCAAACAGGTTATGGGGGGGAATAGCTATGGCACCATGGCACTGTCAGACCTCTACCTGGGGTGTCTGAGGGACAGAGGCTGCACAGTGGAGACCTTGGGTTTTACTGTTAAAAGTAAGCTCTTCCAGGGCAGAGAGATTTGTAAGTTTCATTCCTCATCATTTCCCAGACGCTTGGTAACTGCAGGTTAGTGGTGTGCCACCAGAATCTGGTTACCATGCCCAGGCAGTGATGCCAAGCAGAAGGGGTCCCTGGGGAGAAGATGTGGTGCCGGGGACCACAGTGTCTTAGGCAGCTGTTCCCCTCCACCTCCTCCAGCATTCCCTACTCCCCTGACTCCAGGCTCTGAGTCATTGTGGTGATGGGTCCTGGAGCAGGGACCCCTGCCACTGATGGGGGAGGGAAGGAGAGGGCAGGGCAGCTTGCCTAGGACAAGGAGTTGAAACTCCTCCTAGGTCTTGGGCCCTCATGCCCAGGAGGTCTGTGGCCCTCACAACACATCTGCCCCTTCCAACTTCAGCATAGTGGCAGGGACAACTCGCTGCAGTGAGGCCCAGGCAGCAGGATCCCCTGTAGCAGATTGGGGCCTGGCAGGAGAAAGGCTTGCCTTCAGCTGTCTTCCCACCCTCTGGGTGGGAGGCCCTTCCCAATTTAGGGGGAATGGAAGCCAGGGCCAGCAGGGGCCTTCCCAGCAGATAGTGAAGCCAAACTGCTGGTTGAGGGGGGCATGGCCGAGTGTAAAAGTGCAGCAGGACAGCCAGGCAGGGGCACAGCCCAGGCAAAAGCTCTCCCCCAGGCTTTGCAGGAGATGGGGGAGGTCAAAGGGAACAAGCCAGTACCTGGTGCCTCAGCTGTTTCTGTTCTCTCAAACCTGGGTGGAGGCGTTGGGGAGACACTGACACTTGATGCAGATAGTCTTTCAAATGAATGCCCCTCTGACAACACCCCAGGGCCCATATGTTCAGCATCCCCTCCCTCCACACCTGCAGCAGAGGCTGAGCCTCTAAGGGGCGAGAGCCACCATGCCCTCCCCTGGCCTAGGACTGGGGAAACATCTGTCTCCTGAATGACAGGGAGCACAGGGACTGTGACAGCTGCAGGTTCACACCCCAGACTGACAGGGGCACTCCACTCAAGAAGATACAACTGCCTGCATCTGGCCTGCCAGCTCATGGCCATAGCACGGGGGTTGCAAGAGTGACTGCAGATCCCTCCAGGGGATTTGGGGAGGTGTCCAGAGCTGGCCAACTCTGTCTGAACATGGAGGGGACATTGTTGAGTGGCAGGCTGAGTGGGCAGAGGCTGATGAGCACTGTCCAGGCCTCCCCAGCTTTGCACATGGACCCCAGCCAAAACCTGACCTCCATCCCCAGGGCAGTAAAGGAAAGAAGGGGAAAAAAGCCCTGACCCCAAGTGGAGGAGCCCAGTGTCACCTCAAGGATGGTAGCTGGCAAGCTGAAAAAGCTGTCTACTGTCACATTCCAGTTTACCTTCCTAAACCCCACTTTATAGATGGGACCACTGAGGCCATGAAGGGAGCGATGAGCCCCAGAAGGTGAGGCTTCAGTTCACCAGCTTAGACCCACTGGATCTCGCCTTGGTAAGTGCCATCCTGATCCCAGTGCTCCCCTGTCCCTGACCAAAATGGGGTGTGGATTTGTCTGGCAAATTCCAAGGGTGGGACTTGGGGGTCCTCAGAGCCAACATGGATAGGTAAGCAGGACCTATCCAGGACAAACAGGGAAAGGCAGACAGTCATCACATCGGGGTCATGGCCTGGGCACTTCCAGCCCCAGACATGTCATGGAGCCTTACTTAGATGTCCACAAGTTTCCTTCAGGAAATTTCACAGGAAATCAATGTGAGTCAATGCCCTGTATAGCTATCCTTATCTCAACCAGCAAAACCCCTTGTTCCTTCCTATTATTGCTTATAGTCTCTCTACAACAAAATTAGAGATAAGGGCAAAATAGTTTCTGCTGGGTATTGAGGGGGGGAGCGGGAGGGGGTGGAGTGGGTGGTAAGGGAGGGGGTGGGGGCAGGGGGGAGAAATAAACCAAGCCTTGTATGCACATATGAATAATAAAAGAAAAATGAAAAAAAAAAAAAAACTTTCTGGCCTCCGTTTCCTCCTTTATGAAGTGTAGGATTTGGGGTGGAGCAGTACACTCAGAGACTCAGTTGCAGTGCCTGGCTATCCCACCTGGGAGAGCAGGTACTCAGCTCTGCCAGGCCCTGAGGGATGCTAAGAGGCGTGGTCCTTCTCTGTGGGACTTCAGGGTGGAGCAGGGCTCTGGGGAGCACTACCCACCGCAGATGGACAACTGCGGACAGGAGCTCAAGCTTCTCCCATGCCTGTCCCGCTTACACCGCTGACACTACATGGCGGGGGGGGGGGGGGAGGTCTTCCCGGTGCCAAAGGCAGTGCGGGCAGAGACACACGAAACCGCATTCCCGGACTGGCCAGGTGCCCTCCACCACAGCTGACCCAGGCCTCCAGGTACAGGCTGGAAGATGGGGTGCGAGACCTCTGCAGGGTGTGGAGGGCGTCTAGAGCCTGTTTGGGCCCTAACAGTGTCCCCGTCTATCATTGTGACCCCCTAGCCCAGGGAGGAGCCGGCAGGTGCCTCCAGCCCCCCGGAGGGGCTCGGCTGGTTGAGGCGGGGGCGCGAGGCTCGGACGCCAGGGTGGACACGCAGCAGGGCAGCGGGGCAGCGGGTCCGCGGGGAGGGCGAGCGCTCAACCTCCGCGGGTCGGTGGCGTCGGGGGCGGGTACGGACGGGCGGCGGCGACACTTACCCCGACGCAGGGCGCGGGGCCCCGTGCAGAGGAGCAGGAGCGTGGCGCCCAGACACACGGCCACCAACACGCGTCTCCCCATGCTGCGCCCAGCGAGCAGCGGGCGGCACTCCAGCTTTGGCCAGGCTGAGGTGGCCCCGCCCCGTCCCGGACCCCGCCCCGCCCCAGGCCCCTCCCCGCCCCAGGCCCTGCCCATCCTCAGGCCCTGCCCCTGCCCCGCTGCGGGTACCCAGACGCACTGCCCAGCCTTGTAGGAAGGTGGGAAGGATTGGGGCACAGCCGTGGCTGGACTTTGGTTCCACAAGCCCCTACTGTTACCAATCAGCTGTCTGGGGTCCTGCTCAGAAGAGAAATGAGGAACAGGTGAGAACCTTTTGAAGCGCTTCTACTCACAGTCCAGAGCCCTCGAGAGAGCCCAGGCTTAGGGGCTGCACGGCAGACCTTAGCTCCAGGCCTGAGGCTGGGGGCCTTCTGCTCCAGGCTTTGGCCGCAGAGACCATGGCTCTGGCACTCGGTTTGGGGGCTTATGCTCTGGGCTTTCACCTCCAGTGGACCTGACACTTAGCAATTAACAGTGCCATCCCTGACTTCCATGGCAGTGAGCTGCAGAAGCAGGCAGTCACAGCTCCCGAGCAGGCCTTGGATGCTGGGACCCTCAGCTCCTACAGCAGCTAGTGTTCCAGCTCTTGGGGTGTCAAGTCCCTCAGTCCTTGACGGTGTTACTGGTCTCAGGGCTCAGGTGCCAGGCTCTTCAGCTCTCATAGTGACTAGTGTCACAGGCAGCTCCTGAGCCTGGGTTGTCTAGACCCTTGGCCCTTGGCTTGGCAGCATCCCCCGAACTCTTCCCCAAATCAGGGCCCTTATGCTTCTGGTTCTTCACAGCCTTTGCTTTCTTCACTCATGGCTCTCCAGCCTCTCTCTGCTCACACTACCCCATCGGTCACTCACAGCTGTTCTGGACACCAGGGAAGCCCTCTGGACTCTCTGAGGACCCTTAGAGGTGGAGGCAAGGAACAGTAAGAGTACATTCCAGCCTTGAAAGGTCAAAGAAGGGCTGGGGTGTGGCTTGGTTGAGCTTTTGCCTAACGTGTGAAGACCTGGGTTCCATTCCCAACACACACACACACACACACACACACACACACACACACATACATCCAGCTAGTCCTGTTGGGTGATGACTACACCTAAGACCAGGGTCTTGGTGCCTGGAAGTCAGGCTGTCAGGGAACCCAGGACTACACCTGGTGCAGGTGTGGGGTTTGGGCCAGCATTCAGCAGTGAGTGTATGGGATAGAGTACTGCCTTCAACTTACTGCTCTGGAAAATGTGGTGACTCCAAACCCTGCTTGCTGTGGAGATCAGGACAGTCACCTAAGCTCTCTGTGCCCTAGTTCCTTGTACAGAAATAATATTACACTTCACAGTGTTATAGAAATTAAATGACACCAGGGATGTTTGTTATAGTGACTGACACCCAGTGATACTAGTAATTGATTAATTACTTTAGTCAATTTTAAAGTAACTGATTACTTTTATAGTGACTGGTTCTTGTCAGAACAGTAATATAAAAAATTCCTTCCCAGTACACACTTAAGCTTTAAAAGGTCTATTTAAGGAAGAGCATTAAACAAATAATAGTTGTACTGCCTGTAAGAGTGCTCCAAACAGTGATGGTGGTTCTCACATGGCAGGAGTGGCAAGCCCAGCTCACAGAGAAAACCAGAAGCTCCTTATCATGTCTTCTCCTCCCTAGCTTTGGGGAACCCCAGTCTGCTCCCAGGATTCAGAGATTACTGTTACCCACATCCCCTGCCTGCCTTAAGTCTCACCTAAGCCTTTGTCCCCAAGTCTCCCCAGACCTGTGCTCCTGTGCCCAGTCCCATCTGCTGTCTTCCTCCACTTGTCTTGGTTTTCTAGGCTGCCACTTGGTGGCCAAAGTTGCAAACAGCATCTCACTCAGCCCAGCATTGTCTAGAGATGTCCCTGAAGATGGAGACTCACCAGGAAGGTCTTGGGATGGAAAGTGCAGGTGCTTCCTTGAGAAGTTTCTCTCTGCATCCTGCTGCCCTCCTATGGGGACTTACACATTCATTCATTCATTCATTCATTGAACAGATAATAACATCCTCTCTACGGAGGCTCTGGTGGAAAGAGTAAGCCTGATGCAGTTTCTGCCCTCCTGGAGTCAACATTACATATGGGGCACAGAAAATCGGCATCACTGCCTGTAAGTAGTGCTATGAAGAAGAGAAAGCTCACTAAAAAGATGAGAAGTGTGTCTGATGTGACAAGGATGTTCCTTAAGGTAAAAGTGACATTTAAGCAGAGATGTGAATCCAGGGACGCGTAAGCCACATGGGTATCTGGGAAAGTGTTTTTTCAGGCAAAGGAGCAGCCATTACAGAGGTCCCAAGGTGACACCCCACTTGTGGTTGCTAACAACTGGGTTGAAATTTAGCAGTTTAGCAAAACCATTTATATTTTACCCATAATTCCATGCATCAGGGAACGGCTGCCTGCTGTTTCGTTTGGTCTGTTCCCATCCTTGGCTAGGATGGCCGTCACCTGCAGGCTGGCCCAGTCTGCATGCCTTGGACAGCTCACTCTCACACTGGCAGATGAGGTGGCTATCCTTGGGGAACCCCACAGGACACCCACGGGATCCAGGAGTCCAGGGACTGCTCCCATGGAGCCCTGCTGTGTGGCCATTCTCAGACCTGGCCTGGAGCTGCCAGGTTTCCTGCACTTGGCTGGCCCAGGTGCAGGAAGCAGGGCTATACCCCAGGCCTCAATCAGAGATGTGCCCAAGAGCAGAGGACATTTCTTCAAAATCACCACTGCACGTTAAAGCAGCAGCAAGGAGACCCTGGGGTAGGTCAGAGTGAAGGGGTGAAGTCAGAGAGACAGACAGGGAGTCCAGCTCCCCAGAGCCTGCACCAGCCGGGTCTTTCTAAGGAAGCATGGCGGGAAACTGACCAAGAGACCAGCAGAGTGATCACTGTGCACCTTCACCGCTGTGCTGGGCAGGAGGGTGTGGGAACCAGGTCGGGAGAGGCCAGTGCTGTCTCCACAAGAGATGATACTTTTTTACTTTTGATGGAGGGAACAATTAGAAAATTAGCAATATCTCACTGAGTGCTTGTTCCATGCAAGGCACTGGTCCAAGATTTACACGTGTGCTTTAATCCCCAGGTGAATCCCAGGAGGGTAGCTACTGTTATCTCAGTTGTCCCATGGTGTCTGTGGAGATCCACAGGACCCCTCCGCCCCACACATAATCCAGGCACGCCCAGGTGCCCTATGGGAAATGACACAGCACCTACACACCTCCCCCACACACCTCAGACGTCTCTGGACGGCTTACAATAGCAAATACCGCGTGGGTGCAGTGATCACAGTTGTGACACCGTCGTGCATGGGGAGAGTGGCGCGTGTTCATACAGATACTACTTTTTTGCACTCCTGGGTATCGCGCCCAGAGCCTCATGCATGCTAAGGAAATGCTCCACCCTTGGAGGCACACCCCCAGCCCTTTTTGATTTTTGAGATAGCATCTGGAGAACTTTACCCAGGATGACCTCAAATTTGAGATCCTCCTGCCTCTGCCTTCTGAGTAGGTGGGATTACAGATAAGCATCACCATACCTGGACACAATTTTCTTTTAAGTAATTTGGAGAGGCAGTACTGAGGTTTGAATTCAGGGCCTCACGTGTACTAGACAACAGCTGTATCACTCTAGCCAGCCCTCAGCTCTTTTTTGCTTGAAGTTATTTTTCTGATGGAGTCACATTTTTTGCCCTGGGCAGGCTTAGACAACAATCCTCCTGCCTTTGCGTAGCTGGGACCACAGACGCACACTCCCGTGCCTGGTTTGTTGGTTGAGGTGGAATCTGGCTAACTTTTTGCCCAGGCTGACCTCAAACAGGAGCCTCTTAATCGCTGCCTCTCAAGTAGCTGGAATTCCAAGGATAATTCTGCACGCTGCCGTGCCTGGCTTCTTTTTTTAAAAATATTGGTTGAACCCTCAGAATCAAAATCTGTGGATATGGAGGGTAAGCCATACTTTCACTTACGGATGAAGAAACTGAGGCTCAGAGAGGCTAAGTAATTTGCCCAGGGACACACAGCTAGTGAGCAGGATAAACAGGGTTTGAACCTAGCAGTCGGCCACCTTTTACCCTGAATGACATCACTGTTCTTTTCAATGGCTTACAATATTTGCTTATTTTCTAATTAAACAATTTATATGGGAATAACCAGATTCACGTGCAGTCATAAGAAATACTGAGCAAGCCCATGGATTCTTTGTCTACCTTCGCTAGTGGTAACGATTTCGTTGAGTCTCCCAAGAAGCAAACTTGAGACAAGCACTGGGTACAGATAGCTTATTGAGATCTGCCTTTTTCAGGGAGTGGGAAGGGACAGCCACCCGCTGTGGGACAATACCACCCTGGTAGGTAGGCCTGATGGGAACTCCAGAGACAGTGGAGAAGACACTCCCCTGGGTCGTACCCCTTCCCACACAAGAGGGAAGAGAGCTGGGGTATTTGTCCACCAGCACCTGGCTGAGGGCCACTCCTGGGGCAGGTGGGAAGGGGCTGCCTATCCGCCACCCTTCTCACCCTCCCTCTGTGCGGGAAGAGCAGGTTCTAGGCACCAGAAGCCCTGAACAGAGAGGTACAGGTGCTGGCCGCTGGAGTCCAGGCAGTGTGTAGTGCTCAGGCCCAGAGGAGGGAGGGCAGTGGGGCAGGGGCTGCCTGCTCTCTCATTTGGTCTGTTCCCAAACCTGCAATAGTGCCTCGTGCAAGAAGTTGCTCGGTCAACTGTGCTCAGAAGACCAGGTAAGGGGTGAATGCAGAGGCAAGCCTGAGTGCATTTCTGCTGGCTCATCTTGGACCCCAGTGTGACAGAGACAGTCACGTCCTCAGCACCCCGCCATCAACATCAGAAGGCGTGTGGGTTTTACTCCCCACCAGCCAGTTCTGCAGAGGACACCAACATGCTGCCCTATGAGACAGCATCGGACCCCACAGTTGAGGCTCAGTACACAGGACTGTCCTGCGCTTCAAATGCCAGCCACAAGCATGGGGTGGGACCTGTTCTTCTGACTGATGACTAGAGATTGGGGATCCCATGACGCCCTCCTTGGGTGCAACTAATTTGCTAATTAGCAGCTCACAGAACTCAGGGAAACACATTACCTACATTTGCCTGTTTGTTACAAAGGATGGACAACAAAATGGGTGGTGTGCAGGATGAAGTTTGAGGAAGGGGTACAACACCCACCCTTTCCAGGTGCACCACCTCCAGTAACCTCCACCTGTTTGGCTATCATGGACCCCTCTGAAGCCTGTCCTTAGGGGTTGATGGGGAATGGTCGGTATGTAGGCATGATTGATGACATCGGCTTTTGTTGATCAACTCCCCTTCAGCCCTCTCCCCTCCCTGAAGGTAAGGAGTGGAGCTGAAAGTTCCCCTGGTGACTAGGTGCAGTTTTGAGGCTGGCCAGGAGCCACCTGGCTGTCTCTATCCAGGAGTCCCCTCACTGGGACAAAAGATTCTCCTGTCACCTGGAAATTCCAAGGGAGTGAGGAGTTCTGTTCTGTGTCAGAAACTGGAGGTCAAAGACCAAATGTTAGGAGAAAAGATTCTCTTTGCGTCCCTGTCCTCAAGGGTTTTAGGAACTGGGTCTAGGGGCTGAGACTGGGGTGTGTGTGTGTGTGTTTGTGTTATGTGTGTTTATGTGTGTGTGGTGTGTGTGTTAAGTGTATGTGGGTGTTATGTGTGGAGTGTATGTGTGTTATGTGTGTGATATGTGTGTGTGTGGTGTGTGGTGTGTGTGTGTGTTCGGGGGCGTGGTATTGGGGGTTGAACTCTGGGCCTCTTACTTGTTCTACCACTTGAGCTATGACATGAGTTCTTTTGCTTTTTAGCTTGTTTTGTTTTTCAGATAGGGTCTCAATTTTGCCTAGATCAACCTCAATCCTCCTATCTCCACCTCCTGAGTAGCACCTATATGTCTTATTGTATTATATTACAATATTACACCTGCTAAAAACCCCCTCACTATGCCACAAGAAAGCAGCAGCAGCCAGAGGGCGGCTGGAGCCAGACTTCTCAGACCCAAGGATTCCAATCTGAGCTTCACCCATGACTAGCTCCGCAACCTCAGGAAGTCCCCTCACCTCTCTGACCTCAGTTTCCTTATCAGTGAAATGGGACAGCCAGCCCCAGAGCCAACTCAAGAGTAAGGTGAATCCCCACCCCTATGCACTGGAAGGTGATGGCAGCTGTTTTACCTTCCTGCTTGTGCCCTGCATTGAGTGTTGTGACCTTTTTCTGCTCTTGCAGCTAGTCACCTCCCACATGTAGAGACAGGGCAGAAGTCACAGGGCTGGCCAGGAAGTGAGGTGTACGCACAGCAAGAGCTGCTTCCCGAGGCCCTAGGATTCACCTGTGGGAGTAAGGACATAGGATCCTGGGACTCCCCTGTGGGAGTGAGGCTTGGCCTGGTCCCCACATGGCTGTGAGGAGGGCTTTCTGGAAGAGCTACTGATGACCAGGAGCTGAGAGCCATCCCCCAAAGCTCCTAACATGCCTGTCACCAGGCCCTTTCCCCTCAGGGGCAGGGAAGAGGGTACAAGGGACACTGGTTTCTGCAGCCTGTGCCATGTTCAATGTCACATGTCTCCCGATCAACAGAACACAAATTCCAGTATTTCCACCTTGGTGTAACACCCCATAAGACTGCCAGAGCAAATGCCAATGTCAGAGCCCCACCAACTCACCAGTCATAGCCTAAAAAGCAAGCCCCTGAGACACCCACGTGAAAGGTAAATGCACCCCCATCTCCCCTGCATGAAGCCTTGCCCCTCCCCCCCAGGTCAGCACTCAGGCTGCCTATCAACCAGTGACCCAAAAGTCCTGCCCCTGTCACTTGCTGGGTCCAATGAGGAGCTGGAGGAGGTGGCCCTGGGGCTGCAGGTCTGACTCTGCCAGCCCCTGGCTGCTCAGATCCCTGACCTCCCACTCTACTAGCCTCCACCTGAATCTCAGCAGACATGTCCAGCCTCCAGGTGCTGTGCTCCGGCCTGCCTCTGCGACCCCTCCCGGAGAACCAGGGACGCTGGGCTGGGGTACCCCATGCCCCAGTCAGGACCCCCGGCCTCAGCCCTGCAGAGGAGCAGGTAAAAGGTCCCACCGGGGCCTCCTTGGGCCTGGTGCCACCTAAGTGCCCTTTAGGTGGTCCAGGTGGGTGCCCCTCTTCCTGCTTCCCCATCCTGCCTCTAGGAGCTCTAGAGAAGAGGATTCATGTGTGCCAGACCCTGTCACACCTGATATTCCTTAGGTGCCAACGCCTTGGGGGTCACTCTGGGCTTTGGAATTATGGACTCTGTTTACAGATGAAGAGCTGGGGCTCAAGGTCACACAGCCAGTTAAGGGTGGCACTGGGGCCACCTCTGGTGGGAGGAGGAATGAGCAGGGTGTGAAGTGGCGTAACCCAGCTGTGTGAATGTGTACCTTGGCTCCAAACACTGCGAGTGGGTCTTCTAGTTCTCCTCCACAATGGGCCGGCTCATTTTCTTTCGTAAATCCCTCCACCCTAATGGAATCTCCCAGTGACTGTGCATTGCCCCCTATGGAGAGCATGACAGTGCTGGGGAGAACTGGCAACCCTCACCTGGTGGCCTCCTTTACTGGGGAAACAGGTGCAGGAGGGGGGGTGCACATGCCAGCCTTCCCCAAGTTGCAAGCAGTGACCCCGGAGAGGTTGGCTTTTCCCATTTGCAAGCTGGGAGGTGAAAATGATATCACCCAGGGTTGTGGAAGAGCACAAGTGAAATGAAGCAGGTGGCAGTGACAGGAAGAGTTTTCTACCTCTTTTTCTTTACTCAAAATTACTCAAGAATTTCTGAGACAGTGGGGGAGATGGGAAATACAAGGACCATGAAGGTTAAGAGAGGAAACCCATCACCCCTAGGTAAAGACTGCTGCCCTTTGGGTGGCTGCCCACAAAGGGGGGATGTTGGAGCTGGAAAGGAGCAGGGAAGGGAGGGGGCGGGGAGGTGTTAGGGGGACAAGGTCCTAAATGGGCAGAGCATTGGTGGGTGGCCCTGCAGGGGGCAGAGAAGGGAGAGGACAGAGCAGGGCAGGGCCAGAGAGGGGCCGGATGAGCCGGGGTGGGGCGGAGCTCCCCACTCCTTCACTGCACTGTCTGGCCCTTTTGAGCTGGTGCCCACGCAGTGGTTAATGTTTCGTCCCCCTTGGTCACCTCCCTGCTGGGCTGCAGTGCCTTGGCCTTTGACCTTTGGCCAGGAGGGCTCAGTCTCAGAGGGCCCTGCCACCTGAAGGTCTCCGGTGACACCCTATGGTTGTGTGAATGGTGATCAGCCTCCATGGTGTCTCGTGGTAGCAGAGGACATGGGGACCTGAGAGGCCGATCACCTTGGCTTTGCTCGTGTGTGTCACCATTTGCTTGACGGATGCAATGTCCTTGGAGCAGCAGTGACTTTGGGAACTTGGAGCTGTGGGAGGGGCCACACCTTCCCCCTGGGCTGAGTGGTCAACCTTCAGCTGGTCCCAAAACCCAGTGCTGGCTCATTAAAGCTCACCTCCCTTTGTACATTGGCTTGTTTTCCTTTTTTTTTTTAATTTAAATGTATTTCTTTGATCTTTGGCACAATTTGAAGGTAATTTTATGAGATAAGCAAGTGGAAAATTGTTAAATGTAAGTTTTGTCGTCACAGTGGCTGGTTTTTAGGGGTCGCCTTCCAGGCACAGTCCATACAATGCACAAGACCTCCAAGTGCCCTTGGAAAGGCCTGTGGACACAGGCCACGTGCTGCAGGGTCTTCCGATGGCTCCTAACTGGATGTTTAGAGCCATCCCGTTCCTTTTATTGCTGGATGTATTATATTATTTCATTATTGAAAGGGCTAAGATGGGCTTCCTTCTTTGTTCTTTTTTGGGAGCTCTCTCTGTCTAAATGAGGAGTATGGTCTGTCTGTCTGTTACATTTGGCAGTGTAGCTCAGCTCACAGTACAACTTCTTCAGTGCATCTCACCCCAGGAGCAGCTCCTGTTAGAAATGTCTTCAGTACCACCACCCCCATATGCAATTTCTCTTAGTGACCTTCCCCAAATCCTACCCATCCACTGGAGCTGTTTGAGTGTCAGGCCTTCCCCAGGCTCTGTGTCCCCATCACTACCAACACACCATCCTGCACTTGTAGATGGGACCGGTTCACTTCTGGGTCTCCAGTGACACTGGCAGATTATCTGTTGAGTGAGTGGCCAGAGCAATGTCCAGAGCCCAAACTCACAGCCTACCTGTGAGAGCTTCTTGGAGGAGAAGTAATGGCGGTGTGGATAAGAAGGGAGAGAAGGGAGGCAGTGCGTGGAGACGAGAGGTGAGCCTTCCCAAACGTGTCAGGTTGAGGAGCCCCTGGGTGTGGAGCTTGGAGAGTCAGGCCCAGCCTGATTGGAGAAGACGCAGAATGCCAACAAGAGCTTGGACTTGCTGAGACGGGGAATGGGGAGCCTGTGAAGGTTTTTGAGCGGGAGCATGATTTGATGGTTAGTAATAGTTCCCCGTGAGGGAGTAAGGGCTTGTTTAGAGATCCCAGATGGCAGGAGTGGGCAGAGGTCCAGTTGGAAGAAAGATTTGGCAGCATGGAGGGCCATGAGCTTGGGAGGTGACAACTTTGAGATCTGGCACTCACACAGCACACGCGTGTGCCAGCACTGGTCTAAGTATGACAAGTCATTAGTGCCTGTGAAGTGGGTACTATATTAGGCCCATGTACAGATAAGGAGAGCAGAGTCAGAGAGGCGGGGTATGCATGTGTGCACAGCCAGCCCCTGGTACAGACCACCCACATTCCTTGGCTAGTGGTTTCCCCATCTTCAAAGCTGGCAGTAGAGCAGCTTCAAGGCTACTCACCTCTCTCTCTGCCCCGATTCTCATGTCTCCTTCTCTGGCTCTGACCCTCCTGTTTACCTCTTACAAGGACCCTTAAATGGGAGAGGGTTACCTGGGGCCCACTAGAATGATCCAGGTCCAGAATAGTCTCAAGACCCTTCACTCAGTCGCGCCTGTTGCCCCGTAAAGTGGGTTAGGATGTGGACATCTGGGGGTGGGCGTTGTTATGACTACCACACAGTATGCAGTCTACCCAGTTCAGAGTGTAGCCTCTGCATCACTTTCCAAGCTGGTGCCAGATGGAGGGCGCTCCTCTGCACCTGCCCAGGCATCTCCTTCCCTGGAGTCTGCATCTCCCCTGCCCACCAGGCCTCAAGCTTCATGCAGGTCCCTCACCGGCCTAGAGCCAAGCAACCTGGTTCATGGGGCAGGAAAGGGTCCATGATGACAAGAAGAGGGAGGAGCTAGCAGCAATCAGGGAAGACAGGGGCCTGAGTGAGAAGCAGGCCATCTCAGAGTGGGCCAATAGGTTTCTGAGGCAAATCATGGTGGAGAGGGAGGATGACCCAGCATGGAGGCCTCAGGGTATGTGACCTGGAGCCCCCAGCCCTGCTTCCTCTCACCCTTTCCTCTTTACAGCTGGCACTGAGGAACGCCCTTCGCTACTTCCCACCTGACGTACAGGAGCTGCTGGCGCCTGAGTTCGCCCAGGAGCTGCGACAGTACGGCCACATCTATATGTACCGGTTCTGCCCCAACATTGAAATGAAGTGAGCTCTGTTGGGCGTGGCCTCAAAGGGGGTGGAGCTGGGGGTCAGGAACCCAGGGAAATGAGGACCCGAGGCGCCATAAGGGGTTGATCCCCTTATGCAGAGAAAGGTAGTGGTGTGTTGTCATCTGTGGGGTTTGGAGCTGAGAGCTGCCAGCAGTCCCCAAGCCTGGCCAGAAGAAGAGGTGCTTAGCAGCTGGGTCTTTCTGTCCTGGATCCCTTGTCCTGGGCACTTCTGTAGCTAACTGTATATAAAAATCCCTTTGAGCTCATGGCATCTTGTCACAGGGGCGGGGGGAAGCTCAAGGGGTGCTCGGTGATTCCCCATCTCTCCTGGGCTCCATCAGTGTTCTCATGCTGTGATGTGGAACCTTTGTGAACAGGTGGAGTGGTGGGCCCACCTTGAATAGCCAATCTAGCAGCTCCAGAGTGTGCATGTGTAATGGTCCCCAGGTCATACTCAGAACCCATGTCCTGAATACACTGGAAGCCCAGACCTGTCCTGAACCATGCCAGGCAGTGTTGTTCCTCCATGCAACAGGCCATGTCACTTGGTCCCCTCAGTACCTGCTGGCCTGGCACCTGCTGTGGAATGTTTGATGTGTAAATGAAAGAACCAGTGAACAAACTGATCAGAGGTAGAGGCTTCTAGAAAGCAGATGTTGTTCTCTTTGCAATCAGCTTTCTCCCAGATGGCACTTGCCAAGTGGAGAGGGATGGTGGCTGGGGTGGGATGGAGCCTGAGCTTCCAGTCCTGGACTTATGGGAGCTCAAACCACTCAGCACCAGAGAGGTGTGCCTTTGTGGCTGTGGAGCCCCTGCCCTCCCCCTGTGCTGAAGCTTCTGGTGAGGCCTGTGTGCTGGACTCACTGGCTGTGGCTTGGCAGGTGCGTTGCTCTAGCAGGAAGGGAGGTGTGGTCCCTTGCTCTGCCAGCCTGTGCTGCACCTTCCCTTGCAGGGCCTATCCCATACAGCAGTACCCCTGCCGGACCAGCACGGCTGCCGCCATCATGCATATGATCATGAACAATCTGGACCCCGCCGTAGCCCAGGTAACTCTGGGGAAACCGAGGCCCAGCACCGCCTGGTAGAAACGTAACACGAGGCCCACACGTAATGCTTTTGTGCTTCTAGTGTAATCATAGAGTCACCAGATGTTACAAAGCTAGTCCAGAGAGGTTCCTGAACCCTTCTCCCAGCTCCTCCAATGGTCATGTCCCCTGTAACTTTAGGGCAACATCAAAACCAAAGCATCAACACCAATACAATAAGTACACCTATAATTTCCAATAGCAACATGAAAGAACGAAAAGAAAGATTTATACTCTACTTATCTTAATACAACCAACATTTTAACATATAGCCAACATAAATACCATTAACAAGACATTTTACATTCCCTCGTTCATACTGAATCTTGGAAATTGAGGTCTGTTTTACGCATAGAGAGCAGATGGCCATGTGTGGCCTGTGGCTACCATATTGGATGGTATGGGTCTGGCCACACATTCCTGCCAAGCTTCTCTCTTTGCCCCATATCCTGGCCTCCTTAGTGCAGCCAAGGGGTGGGAGTCCTTCTCCCTTCTACAGCCTTAGGGCTCTTTCCACGCCCTCGCCTCAGCCAGCCATGTCTTCTCCAGTTTCCACAGGAGCTGGTGACTTACGGAGGAAATGGGCAGGTGTTCAGCAACTGGGCTCAGGTACAGTGGGCCCATGGTCTTGCCCCGCCTCCCTCAGGCAGGGAGGAGCTTGTGAGGTGGTGGCTGTGCCTCCCTGTGCATGGGCTCCAGCACTGGAGTCACCTGGGGACGCTACAGTTATGAGAATGGGCTGGAGAGGCGTTAGTGGAAGCACCAGGAGCCACTGGAGTGTGAAGGAGACCTGGAGGGATGGGGTCACTGGGTGGGACCACCAGGGCCTTTGGGAGCTTTCCAGGTCTGAGTGTGGCTTTGGGGGGCTGGTATTGGGTACCCCCTTTCACTTACAGAGCCCTGCACCTTTGCTTACCCTCCAGTTCTGGCTGACCATGTCCTACTTGTCAAAGATGACGGAGGAACAGACTCTGGTCATGTACAGTGGACACCCGCTGGGCCTCTTCCCCAGCAGCCCTGGCGCCCCACGGCTGGTCATCACTAATGGGATGGTGGGTCCAAGACAGTGGGCATGGTGCCTGCCCATGGGCTGGGCTGCAGGAGAGGGGGTGCTTAGGGTGGGAGGAGAGGAAAGACAGGTGCTGCAGACATCATTCAGGCACCACATCCTCCACCCGCATCTGGGTCCCCCCGCTCTTTTCCAGGTCATTCCCAACTACTCCTCCAGGACAGAGTATGAGAAGCTCTTTGCCTTGGGAGTCACGATGTAAGTCGCTACTTCAGCTTACTGACGCGGGCTTCCCCTTAGCCAGCTTCACTCTGAAACAGTGCAGCACTCACTGTTAAGTACTGCTTTGAAAAGCACACAGCATAAGTACCTTCGTTCTTGCACGGGCCCCAGTAGTTCTTACGCAAATGCCTACCCCTTTTATACGTGTGTCAGTGAAACAACATACAATTCTGGGTTCCATCTTTTTTCAAAGACTTTATTATGAGCAATTTCAGACACACAGAAAATTGAATTTGCAGGAAACACCGCCAAAATTCTATGACTAATGTGCTACTGCTTGCTTTAGCACATGTCTGTCTTTCCATCCATCCATCCATCCATCCACCCATCCATCTTGTCTTTGGATGAATCTTGAAGTAAGTTGCAGACATTACTGGCTGGAATTCAGTACTTACGTAGTGTTTTATCTTTTGAAGTGATATCTACAGGTCCAGTCAACCCTCAGTATCTGAGGGTTTTAAATCCTCATAGTCAACCAACTCGAGAACAAATATTTTTGAAAAGAAAATTTCTATACGGACCATGCAGACTTTTTTCTTGCTATTATTCCCTCAACAGTGTAGTGGGCAATAACCACTTACCTGACATTGTGTGGGGCGCTTTAAGTCTTCTAGAGGGGATTAGAGTGTATGGGAGGGGTTCATTTGTTTCCGCAACTTCAGCATCTGAGGAATTCGGTGTCCCAGGGGATCCTGAAATCTGTCCCTCCAGGAGGATCCGAGGATCCCGTGATGCACTCAGCTCACAGAGCCTCACAGGATGGGCTCTGGCAAATTGTGGCAGCTCACCCTCTATAGGGTTGGGGACATTGCCATTGCCCTGGAGAGTGCCTGCCTGTGGGCCTCTGCATAGGAAGTGACAGCTTTTCATTTGATACAAAGTCAATCCATGTTCTGAACCTAAAACTACTTCATGGAACATTGTAAAAGGAGCCATGCTAGAGAGCACCCTCTCCCACCCTAGACCCCCAGTTACCAGCGTCTCCTGTGTCCTTCCAAACACCCTCTCTGGGCTTAGAGCTCAGGGTGCCAGACTCCTGGAGTGACCCCTGCTTGACAGTATGGCTGACTTGGAGGTCATTGGTCTCAGGAAACAGGTCGTGGTGGGGCCCCTTCTGTACCTGCCATGGTCAGTGGCACCACAATTTACTTAACCCACTCACCTCCTGGCTCTGGAAGCTTCCAGTTCTTTGGGGTTCTATGGATGGTGGTGCTACTCAAGACACCTTTGAGGATCCCTGGGAGTGTCACTCTGGGATAATCACCAGGTGCAGTCTGCAGAGTAACGAGCCAGTGACCGGGCTTCAGAGTGACACCCGGCATTTCCAGATACCAGCGCACTTAACCCTCAGCACCATTTTCTGAAACAGGTGGCTCTGTTAACTAAGCCTGGAAATCCAGTCACTATGTTGTTGTCATAGTAATGGGTGACATTCCTGTTATTATTAGGTCTAAAACCTTTTTCTGTACCAGTGAAAGCCGATGTGGGGTCAGAGGGACAGGGGCTCACATGCTGATCTGCTGCTTCCTGTGACCCTGAGCGACCATGGTGCTTCCACTTGGTAGATGGGACTGGAGTTCAGACAGTGGAGCTGCAGGATCAGAGGTGGCTCTGAGGGCTTAGCAGGGTGCTGCCTGCAGGGAAGGTGGGAATTGCCTGTCAGCAGAGGCAGGGAAAGCCTTAACTACTTTTCATTAATTAGCTGGGAAACACTCACTAAAGCAAAGCCTTTTGTCAGGTCGACAAAAAAGAAAACACCCAGTGCCATGAATGTGAGGGAGACCGAGACCAGCAGGCAGACTGTCCCCCAAGGCTGGGGGGCTGGGGCTGCCAACGAGCAGCTGTGTCCTGACTTCCTTGTCCAGACTTTAGCCCCACATCTGAACCACCACCAGGCGTCTTGGTAGCACAGCACCAAGGAGCTGAGTCAGTCCCCACTCTGTGTGTCCTTGTCTGACCTTGGAACTTGGGTCTCCTTCACACAGAGGGGCTATTAATTGCTCCTGCCTCCAAGGGATGTGTGAGAATCAGTGAAGTAATAGTAAATAATAAAAGAGAGGTGTCAGCATTGTGACACCCAGGGAGCAGTTGGGGTCTCTGCCCGAGTGGGTGCAGGCCCAGTAGGGGCACAATCACAGAGGGCCAGGAAGTCCTGGCGGGTTTCACCCATCTCCCTATGTAGATGTTTATTGTATTAGCATTATTCTCTTATGCTTATAACAGTCATTAAAACTTTCAAGATAAAGGCAATATATTCCCATTTTTAGAAGAAAAAACAGATTCTGAGTGGTCAAGTGCCTTTTTGGGTGTGTCATAGTAGGCAGGAACCTAACAGAAAGAGATATGAACTTCAGATGAAGCCTTTGACAGTCCCCTAGTCCTCAGGAAGACAAATGCCACCATTCCCCATCCCACTGTTGAAAATTAAAGTGTTTGATGATCGTCAAGTGATGGAAACCAGGATACTCCTGCACTGCTGGTGACAGCACTTAGGAAGGTGATGGGATCTAGTCCTGTTGAAAATGTCTGCATCTGACCACCCAGAAGCTCCCTCCTTGCTTTTTACCCTGGAGGGCACAGCTCACAGGTCCAGGGAGCAGACAGAGGTCACCCCCCCACAGCAGTTGTTCATGTAATGAAACCAGAGTCATGCTGATTACTGACGGGGTATGCCTTGGGTGCTGGGTGCTGTGATGTGGAATGAAGCGAGTGATGTGTGAGTGCTGCACGGGATGTCAGGAGCAAGCTGCAGAAACGAATCCTAGAGAGCCAGGCTGATAGGGAAATGATACCAGTAACCACTCAGCAAAGCTTTGCACCGAATGTCATTTGTGGAGGTGTCACCTACAGCAGAGAGCCTGAGTCTGACATGTACAGCTCGGTGAAGTCCGACAGTTGTGAGCACCGACCCACCACCACTCAATGGTGCCAGGCACCCCCAGCCCCAGGGTCCCCAGTAGGAAGACTTCTCAAGGTGAAGTCCATTGAAGATGCTTGCTCTCTCTCTCTCTTTCTCTCTTTCTCTCTTTCTCTCATGTCTGGTTCCTTCTCTGGGCCACACCATATGTAGCAGGACCCTGTCCCCTTTCTGGGCTATATAGCACTCCTCTGTGCTCATATGCATGATTAATTTCTCTCTTCTCCTGTGGGTGGACATTCACTTTGAGACCCACTGACCTGACTTGTTCTATTAAAAAATTTATTATCACAAATGTCCAGATTAGTGATTGCAAGAGCAGACTAAAATGACACTTACACTGAGGACATGTGTTTGTTGATAGAAAATAATGTCAGGTTTTTACATTTCCAATAGCATCGTCAATAGCACACTTGTAACAATAAATTTTATTAAATTTTTAGATGTATTCACATACCCCAGGGGCATATTTTATCACGATGATATTTGCCTGGCTAAATATTAGATTTTTTTTTTTTGGCAGTTCTGGGGCAGGCAGGTGCTCTACCACTTGAGCCACACCTCCAGCCCTTTTTGCTTTTAAGGTTATTGTTTTTCACATAAGGTCTTGTTTTTTGCCCAGGGCTAGACTCAGACCACGATCCTTCTACCTCTGGCTTCTCACGTAGCTGGTATGACAGGCATACACCAATAGCCTGTCTTCCCAGTAGAGATGGGGTCTTGCTAACTTTTTGCCTGTGCTGACCTCAAACTGTGATCCTCCTGATCTCTGGCTCTGGAGTGGTTGGAATTACAGGCATGAACCACCATGCCTGGCTCTAAATGTTAATTTTTAACACATAGTATCATTCGTTCTCCATTGCTACATAACACATCCCTCCAAAATTCAGTGACTTAAAACAACACGTGTTCAGGTTTTGACCACCACCAGGAGACTTGCCATGAACGTTGCCGTGTGTGTCTTTACCTGGGCATCAGCGTGCGGGGCCAGGCTCAGTGTTATCTGTGTGGCCAAATCTTGCCCAGGTGATGTCTTCAAACCAATTATAGGGCAGTTCTTAGGAGAAAAAAAATCTGTTTGTAAAACACCTGGAAGGCTGGAGGGGACCTGAATTGGGGGACAGAAACTTACTATGTTCACTCCTTGTTTTTGAAGATAGTGCATAGATGACTTTGGGGGCAACCTAAAAGGGGGTCAGGAGAAGCTGCACCTGGCTCCCCTGCTCAGCCCCCTGCTGGTCTCTCCCTCTCTCTGCACAGGTATGGCCAGATGACAGCGGGCAGCTACTGCTACATCGGTCCCCAGGGAATCGTCCACGGCACAGTGGTGAGAGACAGCCCCACCCAGTGCTGAAGCAGGAGGGTGGACATGCTGGGAGTGGACCTCACCTCACCTCCCCTGCCTGCAGCTCACCGTGCTGAATGCTGGTCGTCGGTACCTGGGCGTGGAGGACTTAGCTGGGAAGGTCTTCGTCACCTCTGGCCTTGGCGGGATGAGTGGGGCTCAAGCCAAGGCCGCAGTCATTGTGGGGTGCATCGGAGTGATAGCAGAGGTGAGCTGGCTAGAGTGTCTGCCTTTCTTCCTCCCTCCTTCCTCCTTCCTCCAATCCAGACCCACAGAGCTGCTCAGACCCACAGCTCCCTCTCCCCTCTTCTCCCCCCAGCCTCCCTGGCCTCTCCCACAAAGCCTTGCTTGATCTCCCTGGGTGGGTCCCCTGATTTCAAAATGGCTGTCGTTCTTCATGGTCAACACCCATTGACTGCTCATCCGTGAAGCTAGGACTGTCTGCTTATGGGTGCTGCATCCCCGTGTCCCACCAAATCCCAGGGATCTAGATGGGAGACTATGTGTTTGTGAATAAAATGAGTGCAGACTCCCCAGCTCTCAACAGCTCAGTGTTGGTGGTGGAGAGAGTGTTTGCAGGGAGCTACCGGTGTCTTTGGCAAGTACCAAGAAGAGGAAGGAAAGCAGCAAGTACAGGAAGCAGGGAGATGTGACATAAGCCTTGGTGATGCACACCAGTGTCATTTGTACTTAGTTGACACTAAATCTGTGTCATACACACCTGTACTTGTTAGGACTGTGTTGGCTGCAGGTTACAGAAAATATATCTGTGGCAGCTTAAGTAAACAGGGCTTTCTTTCTGTCATGTAACTAGCAATGCCAGCATTGGTTCAGCTTCTCAGTGATGTCAGGGCCAGCATCTCTAGATTCTCCTGTGGTTCCTTCATAGGTACAGAATTGCTGCCCAGCCCCAGCCATCCCATCCACATTTAAGGCAGAAAGAAGTGAAAAAGGAAATGTCAGCTATGACTAACTCTATTTCACAAGGGAAGTCATGTCTCAGAAACCCCTCTTTTATCTCATTGGTCAGTCTTGGGCCACACAGTATTCTTATCTACAAACAGTGAACAGGTAGCTCTGATTAGCTTGGACATGGATCATCTTCTGAGGCTGAGTGCAGTGTCAACCTGAACACAGTCAGGGTTCTGTTGACAGGGAGGTGATAGAAGCCCAGGACTATGTTATAAAAGTGGGGCGGTCTGTGTGGGGTGTGGCATCTCCCTTGTGGGAGAGCACTTTTTTAGGGGTGATTTGTAACAGGTGGCCCTGTGTCTCCTGGCCGCAGGTTGATAAAGCCGCTCTTATGAAACGCCACCAGCAAGGCTGGCTGATGGAAGTGACCGACAGCCTAGACCACTGCATCGAGAGACTCAGGTACCCAGCTCCAAGCACCCAGTGTTGAAGGCAGGAGAAGAGGTTCTGGAGGCGGGGCTGGTCTGCATGGGCCTGTGCAGTGCCTGACAGCTGGCCACAGGCAAGCCCCTCGCCAGGTGCCGGCTGCAGGTCCTGCTGTGGAAATGTCACATTTCTCCCGGTTGCTGTCACTGGTGCAAGGGAAACCACTACATCTGCATCCTTGGTAGTCAGATGTGTGGCTCTGGTGGGGTTTGCACCACTCTCTTGGTGTCCTAGACCACGGTTTGGGAAGGAGTGCAGGTGTGGACCCACCATGTGGCCTCGGGAGCCTGGCATGTGGCAGATGCTCATCTGCTCACCAGTTGGGTGAGCAGATGGCAAGCAGTGCAGATGGTGCCTCTGCCCCCAGGCTCCTTTGGGCTCAGCAGGGCACAGCGCTCCCCGCTGAGCTGACAGGTTGTCTGGGGGCCTTTGAGGCATCCCCCCTTCCTCCTGTCATGTCTTCAGAGGTGTGGATCACCCCGAACACGCACACAGGTGTGCACACACACGCACACAACACAGGCACACGCATGCACACGGGCACACAACACAGACACGTGCACACACATGCGCAAAACACAGACACACAGACACATGCACACACTTATATATAGGTATATGGCAGGCACAAGCGACATACATGTGTATACATCAATACATGCAGAGTGCACACACCTACATGCAGACATGTGCACACATGTGTATGCATGCATGAACACAAATACACACAGACACGTAAGCATACACATGCACACACTTATACACAGACATACACACATGCATCAAACACACATAAACACGTGCACATGTATACATGCATGGTGCACATGAATGTACACATAAACACACGCACACGCACACACAAAGCAAAATCAGTTTGGGGAGCTGCCTGGAGCATCCTGTCCATCACACTGTCCCCAGCGCGGGGGAGACACAGATGGGTGTAGTGAGCCTCCCAGCAGCTGGGTTCCCGTGGGTCCTTCCACAACCCATCATGGGTTGGCCTGGCCACTCCTGCACTGTGCTACGTCATTTGAAGGAGAGGCGGCATCTGACTTTGGGGCCTGTCTTTGGCCAGCCCGGGGTGAAGCGGGATTGTGGTCTCTGCAGGCCACTCTGCCGACTCACCTGTCAGTGCTTTTAGACACTTCCACACTTGCAGCCTATATTACTTATTCCCTTCTTCTGTTTGCCAAAATATGCTTTGATTTTTCTTGCCTTTGCATTCTTCCAAATAATTCTGGGAATCATCTTTAGTGAATTCTACAATTCCTGCCCCCTTGAGTGAGTTCTATAAGAACTCCTGTTAGAGTTGTGACAGCCATCGCCCTCATTCTCCAAAGTACCGCAGAAAGCCGTCTCAGCATGCAGGGTGGGTTTTCCCCACCTGGCACATTCCGGTCTGTGTTTTCCCTTTTTCATGTCTTGAAGTCCCAAGAGGACACCTCATGCTTGCACGCAGTCCTTCTGCTGGCCTCATGGATCTGTCACATTCGCCATTGTTAAGTTGCCTGGGTGTGATGGGGATGGCTGCGTCCCGGCAGTCAAGGGCAAGGATGGCAGCCTCTGCTCTGTACCTATGTCCTTCTAGGGCAGCAAGGAAAATGAAAGAGGTGCTCAGCCTTGGCTACCATGGCAACGTGGTGGATCTTTGGTAGGTGGGAGTTGTTGGCCTGGGGACCCCCAGGGGACCCCCTTCCAGCAAAGTTCCCAGTGCCAACCAGGTGTTTCCAGGACAAAAGCTCCAAGCCGCAGCTCTGTCCCGCCTCTGAGGACCAGCATCCTTGCCAAGCCCACAGCGCCTTCCCACCCATGTCCTGTCCAGGGGAATAGTGGGCCCTGCCTACCGGGTATGTGGGTGGGAAAATGGGCTGCAGTCCCCAGAAGCTGACCCCAGTCCTCTGGCCCACACGACTACTGCCCCAGGGAGCGCCTGGTCCATGAACTGGACACAACGGGGGAACTCCTGGTGGATCTCGGATCAGACCAGACATCCTGCCACAACCCGTTCAATGGTGGCTACTACCCTGTGCAGCTCGGCTTCTCAGAGGCCCAAAGCCTCATGGCCTCCGACCCAGCTGCATTCAAGCACCTTGTGCAGGAAAGGTAGGAGCAGGCCCGGGGGTTCCAGGGACTGGACAGCCAGCCTATCCTGTCACCTGGTTCTCAGGTAACCAGCTGTGGCCTGGAACAGGGTCTTAACCTATCTGAGCTGAATGTCCTGTCAGAGGGGATCAGGAACAGCAACACTCCTGGGCATGCCAGGGGACAGAGTGAAGTGGTATTAGAAAACCCCCAGGGCAGCTTCCTACCAAGTCGCTGAGATTGGTGCATATTTTCCCTGGGACCTACAGAGGTTAGTGGTCAGTAAATGCTGGGTCTTGAAGGGTACAGAGAGTTTAAACAGACCCAGGTCAGGGCCATTCCAGGCCTACAGCACTGGGTGGGGAGGATGTAGGCCACCATGAGCTCTGAGGAGGCCGAGCAGCCGAGCACAGGCCTTTCTAGGTGGTGAGATCAGAAGGCCACAGGCCTTGTTGGGATGGGCTGGAGGGCAACCATGAGGCACCAAGGGACAGAGCTGACATGCCCGCTTTTGCAGCCTGAGGAGGCACGTGTCAGCGATCAACAGGTTAGCTAAGGAGAAGTTCTTCTTTTGGGACTACGGCAATGCCTTCCTCTTGGAGGCACAGAGAGCAGGTAGGAGAAGACGGTCTGCGCATGGAGCAAGGCCAGGGCTTGAGCAGACTCCCTTTCTTCCTGCTTCACACTGACAGCTCAGCACAGGGTCCCCAGTGGGTGCAGGGGACAGGGGAAGCTTCACTCTGCCTCTGCCCAGGCCTTGCTTCTGGACGCTCTTCCCACAAGGCAACTGGGCCTCTGTGGATCTCAGTTTCGCCACGCATTGTAAAAATAGAAAATGCCCTAGAGAGGCCAGGTGTGATGCCCAGGGACGTACTTCAGGGCTAAACTGGGCAGCTTTCCTTTGTCAGGCTGGGAATTTTCTGAGTAAGCCAGGAGTCTCATTCACAGAGCACCAAGTCCAAAAGGCCCAAAGGTGCATGGGGGGGGGGTCTTCCGCCCTCTGGCCTCTTCTCCCTGGTGACTGCAGGACCTGATGTGCCTCTGGATGGCACCACTGGAGACAGAAACTAGGGCTGCCAGCAAGCATGTCCACACCTGGAGCCCCAGCCACAGGGAGGGCACCACCTAGAGACCAGCCATAGAGATGGTAGCATGCCATCCCCAGGCTGCCCCCTGCTTCTTTTCTTCTTTTCCTTAAGAAAAGACCTTGCTGATCCTTCCCCAGCCTTTCTCTGGGCCCTGGGTTTAAGACACCACCTGGGTTGGTCACATGGGTGATTCTGTGTACAGGAGCAGATGTGGAGAAGAAAGGTGCCAAGAAGACAGAATTCCGCTACCCCTCATATGTCCAGCATATTATGGGGTAAGTGATAGGATGGCCCTGGCTTGGGATACCCAGTGCCACCCATACCCTTCTCAGGGTCTAGGACCTGGCACTCTGGCTAGAAAAGCCTCAAACTCTGACCAGCACCAAGGCCATGGGCTGAGACCCCCACATGGCCCAGAAGTGGCCAGGCACTGAGTCACAGGGTTTCTGCCAGAACACTCAGGTGAAGAGGAACTAAAAACCCAAGAGACTTCTGCAGTGCCTCACTGAGAGAGCAAGGAATGAAGGGGCCAGCAACTAAGGTCACTTCCTGTGAGCACCCTCTAAGTAGCCACATTTCTAAATGGCACAGCTGAAAATGTGCCCATCTGACAACTACAGCCAGTGCCTAAGGGGGCAGATGATGGCTTGATCCCAAAGACCAAGATCTGCTGTGGCCCTGCAACCCATGTACCTATCTAGAGTCTCAGGAGGGTCAGCAACCCAGGAGAAGTAGGAAAGGAAGAGGAAACAGAGGGGACCAGGGTCTGGGATGGAGGATGCAGGGCCAACCAAGGTGCCCAGGCTTTAAACTGATAGACCTCAGTGTACACAGAAGGGACCAGAGAGGGATGGAGGTGAGAAAGGCAAAGGTCACCTGCTCAGGTTCACTGTGACATTGAGGTAGAGCCAGGAGTGGGTCAGGGTACAGGGCAGCCAGACTCTCCCTAGGGAGGGGACCCTGGAGCAGAGCCCCAAGGGATGCACCAGCCTGACCTGCCAAGCATGGGAGTGATGGAGGGGCCCAGGTCACTGAGTCCCTACATCCAAGGTCACCTGGATCCCAGAGAAGCTCAGTCCACCTAAGATGAATTCACCAAAGGCTGAGTCCCACATCATTCCTTTCTCTCAACAATTTGGCTTTAGGTGACAAGATGTCACTTATTTAACAGCAATTTAAGAAATTGTCCGCTTGTCCTTGTCCCAGCCATCTGCTCCTACAGCTGGAGGAAGAGACAGAGAGGGCTGGAGAGAGGACAGAGAACTGGGAGGGAACTGGCAGGCAGAAGGGGACAGAGAGGCAGGGAGGCCCTGATAAACCTCTCCTGCACTAGAGGCCTGAGGGTTTCAAGCCCCTCCCTAGCACATGCTGCTGCAGCCCAGCCCCAGACAGGAGATGCCGTCACCCTGGGCAGCCCCAGTTGAGGAGGCCTCACCCTTGCAGGGACATATTCTCCCAAGGCTTTGGGCCTTTCCGCTGGGTATGCACGTCCGGAGACCCCCAGGACCTGGCTGTCACAGACCAGCTGGCCACATCGGTGCTGGAGAAGGCCATTGAGGATGGAGGTGATGCTGTTGGTAGGGAGGTGCTCACTGTGGGTGGTCGCCCAAAGTCTGGCCTCTAAGGACCTCTGGCAGCTGGTGGAGATTCTGCCAGATGGCTTCTGTGAGTCAGCTGGCTACACAAAGGGACCTAAAGAACCTTGAGGCAACCCAGGAAGATCCTGTCCCTGAGTGTTGTTTTGAGCTTTGGAAGCACAGGCTCCAAAGGCACACCAGCCTCCACCTTCCAGAGCCATCCTCAAGGGTGCCAATCAGGACCTTCCTGTTGCAAGTGACAGAAAGCCACTATGTTAGTCAGTTGCTGTCACTATGACAAAATACTTGAGAAAATCAGTCCTCCTGTTAAAGAGGGAAAGATTTATTTTGGCTTCAGAGTTTTCCATCCATGGTCAGCTGGCTTCCTGTCTTTGGGCCTGTCGTGAGGCAGCACATCATGGTGGGAGCATGGTGGAGCAAATTGTTTAATGTACAAGCTAGGGAGCAAAAGAAAGAGAAAAGACCAGGGTCCCCTTCAAGAACTCCCCACCACCACCACCCAGTGATCTCACTTGCTCCTACTATGTTCCATGTCTTAAAGGTTCCACCACCTCCCAACAGCACCACAGGCAAGGGACCAAGTCTTCAACACATGGGCTCTTGGGAACATCTCAGATCCAAACTTCAGCACACTCAAGGTGGCTGAAGCAGACAGGGCCTTTGGGCTCAGGTGACTGAGCAGTCACAGCCAGGGCTTGCTGGGCTGGCATTGTTGGGCACCCTTGGCACACCACGCAGTCCCTCTCTGACTTGTATGTCTAAGAGCACTTGAGCACTGACCTGGTTTCATGTCTGTCGGCACTTCTGATCCATTGCAGCTGCCTTTTGTGAGCATCCTGCTGCCCTTCTGGGCTGCAGTCCACATCTGCCAGGTCCACTTGGGTTTCCTGTACATCTTGGGTTGTGCAGATGTAGAATATTGGTTCTGCCTCTTTCAGCTGAGTGATTGCAATCTCTCTGCATCATATATGCTGGCTCCTTTAGAACACACTGCATTTGACATTGTTGGTCTTGTGTAAAAGATGAGGCAGGTAGGAAACTTCCTCAATTGTCAGAGGCTTTTCCATAGGTGGGGTGTGACCTCTTCCCTGTGTGGGTTAGTCAGCCTTTGCTACTTGTTTTAAGTCACCAGAGCCCATTTTAACCCTGTTACCCCACTCCAGTTCAGGTGGACTGAGGCAGGGGTCCAGGCCACACAGATCCAGGGCTGGAGAACCAGGCAGAGAGTAGCCAGGCCACCTACATGGGAGGAGCCAGGCTAAGTGAAGAAGAAGCTGGGGCTTTATGGTAGGAGATCCAGCTCAACCTCAGGCTTCCCTGACTTAGAACAGCTGCCACTGGTGGGGGGGGGGTTCTAACAACCAGCCCTCCAGAAAGAAGCCCAATGTTCTACCCAATGGCCATGGTATAAATTCTCCCAGCATGGCTGCCTTCAGGCTAAGACTGGAACCTGCTCTGCATTCAGGAGGAGCACCCTACCTGAGGAGTTACCATTAGATGCAGATAACCCCAAGGGCAGTGATGAGTTTAGTATTGCCTTCATTTCTAGTATATATATATATTTTTTGTGGTACCGGGGTTTGAACTCAGGGCTTCAGCACTTGCTAGCAGTTGCTGTACCTCTTGAGCCACACCTCCAGCCCTTTTTGCTCTGGTTATTTTGGAGATAGGATCTTCCTTTTTTCCCCACACTGGCCTTGTTTTTGGCTTCCTACAATTACTGGGATGGCAAATATGCACCACCACACCCAGCTTTTTTCTGTTGAGATGTGGTCTCACAAACATTTTTGCCAGGCTAGCCTAGAATTGCCATCCTCCTGATCTCAGCCTCTTACTTAGCGTGGGATGACAGGCATGCACCACTGCACCCAGTTATCCACTGAAATGGAGTCTCAAAAACTATTTGCCTTGACTGGCCTAAAACTGTGATCCTCCCATTCTCAGCCTCCCAAGTAGGTAGGATTACAGGCATGAGCCACTGGCCATTTTTAACATAATTTTTGAAGTGTGAATTTATTTAAGTAAGATTTTAATGACTGCTGACTCACATACTTCTAAAAAGTTATGGATCTCTCATGAGCTGGTTTGAGCTGGCTCCCACACACCATGGCTACCACCCTCTGCCACTCACCCTCTGAGATAGGCCAAGCTCATTCCTACCTCAGGATCTTTGTGCCTGCTGTTCCCTCTGCCTAGAACTCTGTTCCCATGGAGCTTTGTGTAGCTGGCTCTTCTTTGCATTTAGGACTTCTCTTGAGTGTCAATTTCTTGGGGAGCCTCTGGACCCCCTAACCCGTCACTCCAGTGAGCACCTCATCACATCGTTATTTTCTCCACGGCCAACTCCTGTCTTTGTTCTGGTGTCTGGTATCCATTAGGCCCTGGATAGCTGTTATTGGAGGGAATGAAAGCAGCAGGCAGCAGGTAGCATGAGTCCATGTCCCACCTGACATTACTGTCAACACCCAAAGCCAGGGTGGCTGGTGGGATGCAGGTCAACTCCCTGGCCTGAGTCCTAGCTCCAGAGATGGGGTTGGAACAGGAACCTGTGGCAAGCAGCCTGCAGAAGAAAGGACGGAGCCCCTGGCAGGGGCTCCCTGTGCCGTGACGCTCCTGGCCCTTCTCCCTGCAGTGAAGGCGTCTGTGAAGCTGCAGTATATGGACAACATCCGCTGGATCCGAGAGGCCGCCAAGCACCAGCTGGTGAGGTCTGGGGCCTGGGGCGGCTGGGGCTGGGCTGCAGGCCCCTAGGGAGGCTGCCCAGAGATGAGGTGCTGCTAACAGGGTCCCAGCGCAGCCCACGGCAGACACCCAGCTTGCAGCCCTGCACCCAGTGTGACTTTGCAGCAGCCCCCGATGGCCACTGCAGAAGGGGCAGTGGCCACTTTGCCTGAGAAAGAAGCCCTGGGTGAGGATGTGGAGAAACTGGAACCCATGACTGTTGGTGCAAGAAAGCATGGCGGTTCCTCAGAAGATCTGCAGTGTGACTTCCATGTGGGCCACCCATCCCACTGTGGGTTATGTCCAAAAGAATCAGAAGCAGGGTCTCAAAGATGTGTGTGTACACACACGTTTACAGCAGCCCGATCACCACAGCCAACGTGCGTTGACAGACGGGTGGAAAAACAGCTCACAGTCTACTCCCAGTGGAGTCTTACTCAGCCTTAACAAGGGAGGACTTCTGACATGTGCTCCACACAGGGGAAGCTGAGTGAAATCAGCCAGACACAGGGGCAGACGCTGTAGGATTGCACTCACATTTGGTCTCTAGAGTGGTCAAATCCACAGAGACCGAAGGTAGCATGGTGGGTGATGGGCTGCGGGGGTGGGGAGAGTGTTAAATGAAAAGTTCTGGAGACTGGTGGTGGTTAGATGGTTGCATAGTATTATGGATTAGAGGTGACCCTGCAGGCCTAGTTTGGGCTCCGGGGCCAGACCCCGCACCAAAATTCTCAGCTGTGTGTCCCAGGGTGCGTGGCTCAGCCTCTCTGAGCTCCATCCTGTCATCTGTGGAGGTGGTGGCGATGAATCTTGGAGCAGGCCCTCTGCAGCCCTTCCTGTACACAGGCTGCCAGGCCCAGAGCACCAGGTGCATCCTGCCCATTTCTGTGACAACAGGAGGGCGAAAATGCCAGCAGGGGACACAGGGCAGGGTCTGTGTCCATCACAGCCATCAGGACAGGTGTCTGACTTGTGCATTCAGGGCTAAAGTCTGAGAGCTACAGCTGTGTGACAACTGGGAGAGACACAGGGACCAGCCAGTGCCTAGGCCCCTGAGGGGATTCAAACTGGGGATACTGAGGCTTCTGAGGACAAAATGGAAAAAAAAAAAAAAAGCCCTAAAAACGGAGGGAGGCATTTGGATCACATGCCCGTGGCCTGAGACTGTCTAAGTTAGTGGGTCCCTGGCCTGGGGATCTCAGGGCCAGGAGAGGACTGCTGCTCCTGGGTTGCCCCATCCTGCTACAGTGGTTTGCACTTTTGTTCCAATCACAAAACCCATGTGCCAGCAACGGTGTCTGTGACCTGTCCAAGGCTGGAGGGCCTGGGGCTCAGGAGAGCTCAGGGCCACAGGCAGAATGTATCAGTCCAGAGACAGCCAGAGAAGGAAGGAGGCCGAACCTCCAGGAGGGCCGCCAGCATGTCTGAGAAGGGCTGCCAGCAGCGGAGAGAATCAGACAAATGCAGAGGCCAGATGGACACTGCACAGGGCAGCAAGCAGGACTCGTCCATGTTTGGATTAGGAAAGTACTGAGATGGTGTGCTCCCTACCAGCTTCACGGCGTCTTTCTCTTACAAATGATGGTCATTGTGAAAGGTTGTCTTTTTTTTTTTTTTTCAGTGGTACTGGGGTTTGAACTCGGCCTTGTACTTGCTAGGCAGGGGATCTACCACTTGAGTCACACCCCTAGCCCTTTTGTTTTAGTTATTTTTGAATAGGGTCTTGTTCTTTTTGGGTCAGCCTGGACCATGGTCCTATTAATGCTTCCTTCGTAGCTGGAATGACAGGTGTGCACTACCACGTCCAGCTTTTTATTGGTTGAGATGGGGTCTCACTGACTTTTTGCCCTCACTGGTCTAGAACCTTGATCCTCCCAATCTCCACCTCCTGAGTAGCTAGGATTACAAGTGTGAGCCACCACACCATTTAATGCTCACTACCGGCAAACTTGACAATTTTATGTCAGTTCTTTCCCTGGTTTTCCCCTTTTGATTCAAGAAATGTGAAAATCTCGGTGGCTTTACACTTATTGATTTTCCAAAACATGTTTGTAGCAGCTGGTGTGAGCAAAATCAGGCTATTCAGTAGAAACCCCCAAGGACATTGGAAGCCACTGGACCAGCTTGCCCAGCCAACCAACCCTGGGTTCATGGTCAAATGCCAGATGTCTCCATCGTGAGTCCTGCCACCTTTGCCCCAGGTCCTGGACCAGCCACCAGGTGACCAGATAGAGACACTGTTTCTTCTTTAGAGAAACTGTAGTTTCTCAGCCAGCACCATTGACATTTGAGGATGGATACTTTTTTTTTTAATTGTGACAAAATACACATTAAGTTTATCATCTTTTTTTTTGCTGTTGGCAGTACTGAGCTTTGTGCTTGCATGGATGGCAATTGCTCCTTCGCTTGAACCATGCCCCAAGCCCCTAAGTTTATTGTCTTAATGATATTAAGCATTTGCAGCTCAGTGACAATAAACACATCCACGGTACAGCACAGCATCACCACCATCCATCTCGGGACTTCCCACTTCCCGAGCTGAAACGCTGCACCACTAAACAACCAGCTCCCCATCCCCTCCCCCAGCCCTGACCCCACCGTGCTACTTCCTGTTCCTAGGAATCTGATGGCTCCTGGGGACTCATGAGTGCAATCACACAGCGTCTGTCTTTTTGTGACTAGTTAATTCCACTTGCCACGTCTCAAGGTTTATCCACACTGCAGCACGTGTCAGAATTTCCTTCCTTTTTAAGGCTAGATAATATAGGTGTTCCTCTGTACCCATGTGGTATTGGTTTCAGGACCCCATAGATACGAAAATCCATAGGTGCTCAATGGTGTGGCACTTACGTAGACCCTGTACACACCTCACCTGTACTTTAACCATCCTTAGATTGCCTGTAATACCTAACCTCAATGTAGTTATAACACCCCATTGTTTAGGAAATAATGGGGAGGAAGTCTGTAACCCTTCAGTCCAGTTTTTTCTTGGATATTTTTGGTCTGTGTGGGTCGAACCTGCAGACACAGAACTCAGGGATGTGACTGTACTCCATCGTACAGATGGGTCCCATGCCACCTGTTCCTCAGCCACCTGTGTTGCTTCCGCCTCTTGGCTGTTTTATATATGCTCTGAGAACATGGGTGTGCAGATATTGTTATGGTGGGTCACTGAAGGAGGTTTAGCAGCACCCTACCCAAGCTGGCAACACCCAAAAATGTCTCCAGTCATTGGCCAACTGTCATTCTGGCTGAGAACCGTGGGGCTAAACAATGACTCGTTTTCACTTTTGAAAGCTTCTGTCTCCGGGACCAACCACTCGTTACCTTAGAGTTGCTGTGCATTGGAGTTGTACACAGGTGACAAAGACAGGCACAGGAATCCAAGTTCAGACCCACGAGGAAGTTGCTCTACCTCTCTGGGCTTCAGAGAGCTTGTGATGAAGACAGAGTGTCTTGTTCGGATCATGACTGTGGACTGTAGGGAAAGTACTTGGGGTGAGCCAGGCACATTAACCAGCACGCTAGGTGATGGTAACTCCAGGAGGGCCGGTGCCCATAACAGGTCACCTCCCTGGGGCACAGGTGAGACAGGGTCTCTGAGGCTCCTCAAGGATGAACCCTAGGAAAGATGGATCATGGACGGGCGAGTGGTGGTCCAGACCTAATGACAGACCCTGGTGTGGCTGTCTGGTGGGCTGGATGCGTGTGCCTCAAACCCCCAGACTCCAGAGCTCCCACACACCTCAGGGCCTGCTAGCTGAGTCATCAGGCTGCTGGTGGCTTGAGTGACACCCACATCTTCCCACATTACAAATTCCTAGCTTGCCTATTCATTGACTGAGTGGTTTTCTCACCTTTCCTTTGCAGGTGGTGGGCTCCCAGGCCAGAATCCTGTACTCAGACCAGAAGGGCCGTGTTGCCATTGCTGTGGCCATTAACCAGGCCATTGCCAGCGGGAAGATCAAGGTGACGTAATGTGTCCTGTGCTCTGAGGGGGTTTCTGTATGTTCCCTCTCATCACAGCCCTGCCCTGGGGCTTCCCTCCTGTGTCGGCCTAACCCACCCCACCTGCCCAGCCTTCTGGAAGAGGCCTCACCTCACTGCCTAGACTCAGTAGCTGGGAGCCCAGGAGCGTGGGCTAACCCTACCTGGGAGCTTTTGCCCTGCCCTGGCTGAGGCCCCTACAGCTACCCTTTTAAGAAAACTGGGTTTCACTCAAGGCCTTGGTCTCTGTGGATCCAATAGGTGGAGGGGCTCTGAGATGAGCAGGGCTGGGAGGTGAGAAGGTGAGGTAATACTGAGGGAGTGGGAGGGAAGGAGAGCCTGGAGGGGCTGGCATACTCCTGGGAACCCCCCCCCAACTCTGCAGCGGTGTGAGTCCTGACATTGCCCCTTTCTCTGTGATTTTGGTACCTATTCTGAGCCTCAGTTTCCCTGTTGTGTGAGGGGAGTATTATGCTAAAACCTCAAAGCATGGGTATGAGTTCCTTCTATAAAAACAATGTCACACGTCTTTTTTGAGTTACACTTTTCAAGCCATTACAAACTCTCCCAACTTTTGTCCATTTTTTTTCCTCCTCTGAGGGCATAGAACCCCACTTTGGAGGAGCCTGTCACTCCTCTTTTCTCTGTTTCGGAAGTTCGTGCCACAGTTCTTGCCGACATCTCTGTTTGGAAGCATTAGAAATGTTAATGATCCAATGTGAAGTGAAATCAAGGGAGGTGGTGGTAAGGCCAGCCCTGTGGATGGTTCAGGATCAGGGACCCTGGGGTGGCATTGGCAGCAAGGACAACCCTCAGCCCTTCAAGAAGTATGGCCAGAATGCCCCACAGGCTGGCGCTTTCCAGAAGCCCACTGTGCTCACAAGGATTGGTGGGGAGGCTCTGGGCTCACTGGTGTCCAGGCTAATCAACCGCCAGCACAGAGCTAATTGATTTCACACACATGTATCCATCTGTTCCCTCATTCATTTGTTAGGCACTGCTTGATTGAGCAGGTGTTGGGGGACATGGCCGAAGTCAAGACAGTCATGGTCCCAGGCTGGTCATAGTCTAAGAAAGGGAAACTGATGGCAGACAATGATAGGTAGAAATTAGACTTTTCCAGGTGCTGATGAACACTGAGAAGAAGCTAAACTGAGGTGACTAGGTAGAGGGTGGCTGAGTGGTTGGGAAGATCTTTCTGAGTTATGATGTTGAGCTGACCCTGAATGGCCAGACGGTGCCAGAGTATGTAGGGAGGCAGTGGGAGGAAGGTCTCTGAGTTCAGTGGGGTCTTCCCAGCCTCTCGGCAGGCTGCACCATCCTATTCAGGGAACCCCTAAAGTTCCACTGGGATTGAGAAGACCCACACGCATTGGGCCAGCCATACCTCCTTCATGGGACACTCAGACAAAGACACCAAGTCTCAGGGATAAGAATGGCACTGTCTCGCCAGATCAGTTGGGACAGGGGCTAAACTGCCTTCTCTCTTCCTGGTCACAGAGCCAGACCCGTGCTCTCCCTGTGCAGGTGCCCACGTCGCCCTCTGCTCCTGCTTTCTACCTTAGGGGCCCCTGTGCCCCAGCTCCTTCACTGTTTTCAAATGACTCCAGGTGGATCTTACTTTCATAATGGGGTGGGGGGGGCACGCTGATCTGTCCTCAGCCAAGTCTGCTCCATCTCTCTGGCTGCACCAACACGACATGGGTGCAAGGCAGCAAAGCTGCCCACTGTGTCCGTGTGTCCCTTGCTCTCTGGGAGCGCTTCCCACATATGTATCAGAAAATCAAACTCAGCCAGGCTCAGTGGCTTATCCTGTAATTCTAGCTCCTCAGAAGGCAGTGATCAAGAGGATCAAGGTTCAAGACCCCCACTTCAACCAATGGCTGGGTGTGGTGGCACTCAGCTGTCATTCCAGCTACTCGGGAGGATTGAGGTCCCGGCTGGCCAGGGCATAAAGCTAGACCCTATGTCAAAAATAACCAAAGTAATAGGGGCTGGGGGTGTGGCTGAAGTGGTAAAGCGCCTGCCTAATAAGTGCAGACCACGAAAAAAGAAAAGAAAAATCAAAGTTAATGTGGTTGCTTTTACCGTATGAAACGCCTCTGTCCTCACAGAGACTGGCAGCCCAAAAGGCTCCAAGAAATGGCCTTGTCCAGGTAAACAGGCTAGAGAGGAGAGGTGACTTGCCCAGGGTCACACAGGGAGCTATGGCCAGATCCCTGCTTTAAAGTTCACTGACCCAGCACCTCCCTCGTCACAAAGACTTGGGGCCAGGCTTCCCAAAGGCAGAGCTCAGACCTGCTGTAATGTGTGGATTTACATCTCAGCCTGCCCACCTTCAAGCTCAGTGACGTAGCCCAGATCCTTTAGCCTCTTCTGCCTTGGTTTTCTTGACTATGAAACGAACATGACAGCAGTCATGCCATCTGAATAGGAGTGCTGTGAAGACGGTGCACCACCACTGGTGTAGAACACAGGTGCTGCCAAGCACACAGGAGCCCATTAGTAGCTCCAGGTGACACCAGAAATGGCTGTGCTTCCTCTTACTGGAGAGGGTCTCAAGAGCAGAACTCCAAATCCTTGTCCTCTTGTTGACTGCCATCTTAATATCCTTCCACATTGCAGGCACCAGTGGTCCTGAGCCGCGACCACCATGATGTGAGTGGTACTGACAGCCCATTTAGGGAAACCTCCAACATTTATGATGGTTCGGCCTTCTGTGCAGGTAAGGAAGCCCCACCCCCCTCAAAAAATTTTTAAATTTAATATTAGCTAGGTGTGGTGGCTGACCTGTGGTCCCAACTACTCAGGAAGCTGAGGTGGGAGGATCACTTGAGACCAGGAATTCAAGGACAGCCTGGGCAACATAGCAAGACCCCATCTCAAAAATTAATTAATTAGTTAATTAATTAACAAATTGATTAGTTTAATGCTAGGTGTGTATTTTATTTGAAAATCAACTGCTTCATTTGTTCAGCTTCCTTCTTGTAATAGAAGTTCTAACATCTGAGACACTTGTCACAGGTGACCAATCCAGGACTGAGAGGACTCTGCAATGTAGGACTTCCAGTTTTAAGGCTGGGCTGGTGCCTGGCAAACTGGGAGAGCTGGAAACCCTAGACTTGGCTGTGTGTCAGACCTCATTCCTTGCTTGATGACTTTCCTGCCCTTTGGGAGAAGCTGAGTCCTGACCTTTGCAGATTCTGCATTTCTTGGCTCTCTTGGCCCATGGCCTCTTTCCTACCTTCACAGCCCAGCACCAGGAGGAAGAGAACATTCTGAGGGTTCTCCCTGATCTCTGTGAGCACCCAGCAGGGGGGTTAGAGGAAAAGCCAGAGACAGCAAACCGCCTCATAGCTGCATCCCTGTGCTCAGGGACTTTGCAGTCTCACCTGGGTCTTGACATCCTTTAGTGATGTGCTTAGAGTGCCACCAGCTCAGCTCTGCTTTTCTGCTGGTGCCTGTCTCTCCAGACTGCAGGCCAATGGCTGCCTGGTGTAATGAACACAGTGGGCTCCATAAGCACAGCCAAGAGGTGAGAGTGAAGGAGGGCTCATCACAGCCAGACAGGAAGCACTGGGGACAGCTCCCAAAGTGTGCTGTGTCCCCAACAAAGGGAGCAGGGGCTTTTACTGGGGAAGCACATGCGTATTAGTGCAGGAAAGACTCATAACCCCTGTTGAGGCTATTTCAACAATGGCGGAGCAAGGCCTCCTGGGTGGAGAACTTAGTACTTCAATGACAAAGTTTCCTCCAGGCCACCGAGAGACTGAGAGACTGAGTCGGGGTGACAGCAGTTTGGGCTGGTCCCTGAGCTCTCTTTGGAGGGCCTTATCCAAAGCAAAAGAACAACTGGAGGGAGGTTAGCAGTTATTTAAAGCTCTGCAGACCCCTCACCTCCACGCCCAGGTGATTGACCCTAAAAGTACCTGCCTAGAGGCTATAACACTGGTACCTCACTTCTTGATGGGGTCAGGAAAAGTTGTTCATTTTCAGTCCCTTCTACTCCCCCTCCCCTTTTTTAGGGGAGAAGGTGATGCTCTTTGACTTTGTGTATCTCTGAGCTAACAACAATCCCCACCCCTTTTATTTCTTTGCTCTTTCTGCTTCTAGGCACTTTATCTGGTGTTCAGCCCTTCCCCTGTAGGGAAGGATGACGGGGGCAACTGGGCATTTGTCAGTTTCTCCTGCTGCAGCTTGGTTCTTCAAACACAAACCATTGCTATTCCCTATTTGTCCATGATACACTGTCCTTTGGTCCCAGGCAGCTGCTGGAGCCTGGCCTGGCCCTCAGGCCTGGCTCACACAGGGAATGATGGGTAGTGGTTTCCCTGTCTCTGCAGACATGGCTGTGCAGAACTTCGTGGGAAATGCCTGTCGTGGAGCCACCTGGGTGGCGCTTCACAATGGAGGGGGCGTGGGCTGGTAAGAAGGTGTCAGAGTGGGCTCTGGGCTGATGTGGAAGTCTTGGGGAGTTTCTTGGGGGAGGGCCAGGGCTGGGGAGCTGAAGTCCTGGGATCTACCTACCTGGCCGCACACTGTGCTGATGGCTTTGTGAGCTGAGAATGGGGGGAGCACTTGCACAAGGCATTTCACTTCTTTCGGCCACACCTGTCCTATGAGACATGAGACCTGCAGTGGATGCTCAGTAAGAACAGCCATCACCCTCTCCATGTCACTTTCCAGGGTCTCAGTCCCACTCACTTGAAACACCTGAGGTTCCCAGGACAGCAGGGATGGGAGCCAGGAGACCTGGGTTCTAGGCTCCCCCCCTCTCTCCCCTGCTCACAGCTCTGCCCCTGCCCAGGTCAGTTTCCAGGATCTGGGAGGGTCTGTGTCACTCAGCTTTCTGTCACTATAACAAACACCTGAGATACTCTGCTTATAAAGAGGAAAGGTTTATGTTGGCTCAGTTTTGGAGGCTTCAGTCCCGATCAGATGGCCTCATTGCACCCTTGGTCTCTGACCCTTGCAGTGCAGGCTCCTGAAACAGAAAGTGTAGTTCTAATTTTCAAAAGTCCTCTCCAGTTAGAGGATACATCAGCCTGGCTGCTGCCCACCTCCTCCTGTACCCAGCATCAGTCTCGGACAGCCTCTAGAGGCTGGGGCTCTGACGGCAGGCCCCTCGGGGCACAGAACTGCCAGGTGCGGGGCAGAGCAGCAGCCTAGGGCAGTGCCAGCCAGCCCACTTGCAGTAGGTGCTTGGCTCCTGGGCCTGGGAGTGGACGATGCAGTAGGCTCCCAGAAGACAGAGCATCTGGGCTTCCTGTGAGAACCCTATTGATGGTTGAGGCTGGTCACAGAAGCGGGTAAAGCTGGGTGGCCTAAAAATAGGAGACACATTTAAGGTACAGGAAGGGGATAGAGCAGAGTCACTGTGGGTGAGAAATAAGAGGCAGGAGGGATGCATTTGTACCCAAGCAATGACAGAGGCAAAGACCAAGGACATTTCTTATGTGTGCGTGTGTAACTGAGAGTGAAAAAGACTGAGCAGGAGTCTTCATTCATTACCTTGGGTAATGAAGAATAGCACCAGGCAAACACACAGAAAGTGGAATAGTGTTAACTCGATTCAAACTAACTGTTCAGAAATGGAAGAAAACAAGAACACACCAAGGCCTGCTGAGATGGTCAAGAGTACTCAGAAAAATGCATTAATGAAAAAACAAGAAGTACTGAAAGTAAAGGAAGTTGGCCTTCAAACTGGGGAGTCAGAAGGACCCCAAAGTACACCTGAATGAAGCAAGCAGAAAAAAGGAGTGAGAAAGATACAGACCATAGAGACAAAATCCAGAGGAATGGCAATTGAATTGAGTGACACAAGAGACAGCACTGTGAGAAGGCAGGAGAAGGAGGTGTTTCCCACTTGGGTGATCAGGTTGGCTTCAAGCAGGAGGTGACAGGTCCAGCTCAGAGGCTGCACTGGGCAGAGAGGCCAGGATGTGGCTATTGACAGTGGTTCTGCATATGGCTCCTGCCTCTACTAGTCTGCATGCTCCAGGCTGCGGAGGCCACCTTGATGCACTCCCCCAACCCTGACACCTCAAACCAACACCTCTCAACCATGCATTTCTGCCTGCTCTACACAGGGTAGGTGCGGGGAGTGAGCTGGGAACGCCTCTGACTTTTACAGGGGTGAGGTAATCAATGGGGGATTTGGCCTCGTGCTGGATGGGACCCTGGAAGCCGAGAAGAAAGCCAGGATGATGCTCAGCTGGGATGTCTCCAATGGCGTGAGTCATCCCCAGGCCTCTCCAGCTCCTCTCTGCCTCCTCTAGGGTGCTATCTATCCAGAGTGCAGACCTGGGCTACAGTTCTGCCCCCTTTCCCCACAACATGGTCAGGAATTCATCCTGCCCTCTCTGGCCTCCTCACCAGACCACTCTCTATGCCACACCCAGCAGTTTCCAGAATCTGCTTTGGGTTGCTCACTGGCCTCACCCCTGCAGTCCAGCCTCTGTCCACACAGGTGCCCCCTAGCAGTCCTGATGCTTCCTCCTGCAGATTCCCCGCCCCCCACCCGCTGCTGCTTTGAGGCCTTGCTGATTTGGGTGCTGGGGATGGAACCCATGCTACTCTGCCACTGAGCTACACCAGCCCTCTCCACTGTCTTTGACAGTCAGAGAATGGCTGGCCTTCAGAAGAGATCAGCCTTCATCCTATAGCTGGGACTGGGCTTTGCTGTAGCACCACAGCCTCCTCTGGGGAAGGGGGGTTATTCCTCTTGGGGACCACGTCACAGGGAGCCCAGAAGGAGAAGCAGTTCAGATGAGAGGTCAGAGTCAAGTGGTGATTGGGAAGGATAGGTGGCATGTGAGTGAAATGGGGACGGGGCCAGGGTGCAGATAGCATGACATTGAGTTGAGCCCAGAGAGTGGGGGGACCCTGGCAGGTCCCACTCTCAGGAGCCTCAAAGCTCCAGTAGGAAGGGGGATCTTTGTCCTGAAACTGTGGGAGTTGGAGAGCCATCTGAGCTTTCCTTCCAGAACACCCTACTGGCTGTGGTGCTGAGATAGTCTGGGGGAGGTGGGGTGGGGGGCTGGCAAGGGTGGCAGCAGGGGTGGAGAGGTAGCACAGTGTCATCCATCGAGACCAGGTGGAGAGGAGGAGGTGGGCTAGAGAGGGGTTGGAATGTGGACTCCTGAGGGCAGAGTATAGGTAGGTGTGCAGTTCCTGGCCAGGTGCTGGGGTGGAGGTCAGGTCATTCTTGGGGATAGGGAAGGTGGGGTTGAGTTGATCTTTCAGATCAAGAAGAGGGTAAGAGAAGAGAAGGCCTGAGCTGAAGATAGAGACGGGGCCAGGTGCAAAAGAGGCTGACAACAGATGGCATCATCCCTGAGGGGAAGAGGATAGGGAATTTGAGAGCCAGAGCACATGAAGAATTCAGTGGTGGTGACACCAACTGCTGCATGTTCCCCTTTCCCCAGGTGGCCCGGCGCTGCTGGTCTGGGAACCCCAAGGCCTATGAGATTATCTGTCAGACGATGCAGGATAATGATGGCTTGGTGGTAACACTCCCGCATGAGGTGGCAGAAGAGCACCTGCTCCAGCAGGCCCTGCGATCCTGAGAGGGGGTCAGGATTCCCTCCACCCCCTCCTCCCTTGATGCTCTCACCCTGCTAGCTGCAGACCACCTCTGACCTTACACACAGGGCCTGGACAGGGTCCCCTGACCAGCCCATTTTACAGATGAACCATCTGAGGCCTAGAGAGGTGAAGCCATTTGTCTATGACCATGCCACTGGTTGGGGAGCCCAAGGGAGGGCTGGGGGACCTCTGCTCAGAGCTGAGTCCTCCTGCTATGGAGTGGACTCCAGCTTTGGGGTGCACCTGCCTCAAACACTGGCCAATCTGGGCACCAGCCAGACCCTTCCAGAACCTCCTCAAGGTCTCTCTGGCCAAGTAGCACACCTCTCTGCCTCCTGTCCACCTGCCATCCCCATGCTGCTCTACTGGCTATTGGCCCATCCACTCATTTGTTCAGCACTTCCTGTTCTCAGCACCCCACGTTTGGGGACACAAAGGGGCTGTGCCAGGCCCTTGGAATGGAGGAATCTAAGGAGGAGGATAGAAGGGAAATAAAGGACAAGCCAGAAAGCTATGTGCACCTCACATTGTGGGCAGCACAGTACACCTTAAGGAAAAGTCATCATTTGCTGGGGGGAGGAGAGGTGTGGGGAAGGACAGAGGAGGGCTCTGCAGGCCAGCACAATGAGCCATGAAAAACATGTTTGGCTCCCATGTGAGTGGGACCCAGGTAGAACCCTTTGACTTCCCCAGAGCAGGTGCCTTTTGGGAGGGGTATGAGGGGTCCAACAGCAGTCCCCAATCCAGGACCAACCACAGCCTCATCTTGATGCGGGAACAAGCATGGGAGATGAGGGCTGGGGGGGCTGGGGTTACTGCCTCCCTGTCCTGAGTAATCGGTGACATGGAGCCCCATTCCTTTGCAAGGAATGAGACTTTCTTGATGAGGCACCAAGCCTCGAATGCAAAATTTGCTTGTTTCAGTCTGATACTAAGGGAGAAGGGTTATACAGGCTATATTAGTCAGCTTTGAGTTACCATCATGAAGCGATTATGAGGAGAAAAGGTTTATTTTTGGCTCAAAGTTCTGGATGTTCCAGTCCAGGGTTGACAATCCTACTGCTTTGGGCCCCTGGCGATGGTGCCAAAGGGCAATGGTGCGGAGTGTGTGGCAGAGCAGATTGCTGACACCATGGGGTCCCTCACTTCCCTGCAAGGACCTAAGGACCTCCCACAAGGCCACACCTCCTAAAAGTCTCACCACCTCCCAATAGCACCTCTGTGACCAGCCTTTAACGGGAAGTGGGGGGTCTTCTGGGGACACACACTCAAGCCATAGCAGAGGCCAGAAACTGCCTTGAGTCTCAGTGTGTGCTTCTTGCAAAATTGAAGAATTTTCCGAACTCAAAAGTGGGTGTGGTGCCAGACAGTGCTTAGTGTTGTCCCATCTCTGCCCACCAAGACCCCAGGGCCATGGCCTGTGAGACGCGACTTCCTAGTCTGCACAACAGTCATGATACCTGGGACCCTGTCGAGACGGGACCATAGTTCTTATTCAGGAGAGTTCTTACACATGGAGAGTCCCCTGCCCCCCAACTCCGTTGTCAACCCCACACTGCTGTTGGGGTCTACTTCCTTACCTGTAAACACACCGGCCACAGCAGGGGCTCAGGTAGAGTGCCACCTAGAATTGTGCCTTTGCTCTCTGTCCATGGTAGCCGTGAGCTCCACGCAGCTGCAGTACTTGACGTGTGGACAGTGCACCTGGGACCTGGGCTCTAAAATTTGGCATCTTATCTCATTCAAAGTAAATTTAATTCACTTCCACATAAATGCAATTGAAATGCAATGCAAATTACTATTTAGGTAGAGCTTAGGAAGTTTATTAATAAAAATGAAGTGCAGTCTTTTTGTTGTTGTTGTTACTGGGGTTTGAACTCAGGGCTTTGCACTTGCTAGGCAGGCACTCTACTGCTTAAGCCACACCTCCAGCCATTTTTGCTGTGGTTATTTTTGGAGATAGGGTTTTGCTTTTTAACCCACGCCACCTTGGACATCAATCCTCCCACTGTGTCAGGGATGACAGGTGTGCACCACCATCTTTCTTTTTTGTTCAGATAGGGTCTCACAAAATTTTTTTGCCCAGGCTGGCAAAAAAAAACCCTCCTATTTTAGGCTTTCTGCTGTGGCTGGCATGACAGACACTTGCTACTGTACTCAGTTATTAGAATTTGGGTTTTGGGGTTGTTTTTTTTTGAGGTACTGGTTGTTGAACTCAGAGCCTCCTGCTTGTTAGGTAGGCACTCTACCACATGATTTCAGCCCAGCTATTGAACGTGTGATCTTAATAATAAAAAATGTTTAAGTGGCTGGGTGTGGCTCCATGGTAGAATTTGTGCTGAGAATGTGTAAGGCTCCCTGGAGTCCATCCCAGCACCAAAAAAAGAAAAACAATTAAAATTCAGCTGGCCAGATGAAATGAACACCTGTGGAAACACTGAAAAACAATAACCCTTCCTCTTGCGAATGGACAGGTGAAATGTGCATCCGCGGGATGGAGAGGGTGAACAGGCAGGGCTCATCCTGCACTGGACAGCTCAGCACTGGCGCCACTCGGATTGGCCTCTGTTACTAGTGAGGCAGGTCTTGTTTGGACTCCTGCAGCCACCTCCCAGGGTAATTCTACCCTGGAGATTCTGGACTCGGAAATGATTGTAAAATGCAGCAGAAGCATGTCATGCTTCTGCCCCTGATCCTTGCTGGAGCCCCCAGGAATTGAGGACCCCAATGTAGAAGGAGCAGCAGAAAGAGCAGGATCCCTTGGGAGACCATGAAGGCAAGTAGGAGATAAAGGAAGCCCCCCAAGCAGGAGGTCTACGAGGAGCCATTGAGGAGAGTGGGCCACAGAGGATAGGCAAGACACCACCTTCCAAACGCCCATGAAGCTGATTTCACTCACTGAAAAGTGTTCTTTAAAAATGCTGTTACTCTTGAAAAAGCATAAAAAATAGAAGAGGGAAACCTCCATATTACTATCAACTATTTCTCAATAATTTATCTTTTTCTGTGGTACAATACCATAAAACATAACCCCGTGACATAAAATTTCCATCGTAACATTTTCAGTGTGCAGCTTAGTGGCAGTAATTACACCCACAGTGTTGTGCAGCCGCCACCACCATCCCTGAACCTTTTCATCTTCCCAAATGAAACACTGTCCCCACGAACACTAGCTTCTCATTGTCCCTCTCAGACCCTGACACCCACCATGCTGCCCTCTGTCTGTGAATCTTATTACTGCAGCGTTCCTACAACTAACGCTACTGTGAACACCGCATGCAGGTTTACTCATAAACTTGTTTCCGTTCTCTCCAGCATACACCTAGCAGTGGACTTGCTGGGTCATATGGAAATTCTACATTTAACTTTTTAAGGAACCGCCAAGCAGTTTCCCACACGACACCACTTTACATTCCCACTCACAATGTCTGAGGCCTCCAGATTTTCCATATCCTCACCAACACTTGCTCTTCTCTGTTTCTAAACAGTTACAGCTATCTCCGTAAGTGTGAGGTGGCATCTCACTGTGGCTCTGATTTGCATTTCTCTAATGACTACAGATGTTGAATACCTTTTCATAGTCTTGTTGGTTGTTTGTGACTTCTTTGGAGAAATGGCTACTTGAATCCTTTGCCCTTTTGTTAATAGTGGGTTATTTGCACCAGACTAGCAAGCACAAGGCCCTGAGTTCAAATCCCAATATTGTCAAAGACAGGGGAGCAGGGATGTGGCTCAAGTGGTAGAGCATCTGCCTACAACTGGACTGTCTTCTTTCTTCTCGAGTTACGAGAGTTCTTTACATATTCCAGACAGTAGAGCTTATCAAGTATATTATTTGAAAATTCTACTCCCATTCTATGAGTTGGTTTTTCACTTTCTTCTTGGTGCCCTTTGACTTGAAATTCAACTTTTTAGTGCTGATGAAGCCCAATTCAATTTTTCTGGTACTTTTGGAATTATATATAAGAAACAGTTCCCTAATGAAGGTCACATAGGTGGATGTCCATGTTTTTCTCCTAAATGTTTTAGGTCTTACGGTTACTTTTTTAAAATCTATTCTGAGTAGATTTTTTTTTTGCATGTGAGGCGAGCTTTGGGCTCATATTCACCCTTCTGTATGTGGATATCCAACTGTCCTAGCACAACAGTCAAAAAGACAACTGCACCCCCAATAGAATTGGGGCATAAATTCTCACACATGTGATAGATGTATCCACTCTTTAATATCATGATATACCTACTTTTAAAATACCTTTACTACTAAGAAAGCACCCAGCTATCCAGTAAGTCTGTAGTGGAGTCTTCCCTGCTGAGCCTGGGGTGGCAGGGTATGAGACACAGTCCTGTGCTCCATAGAGAATGAGACAGGAGGGCGATACAGAAAACAAGTCCACCCTGAGTGCTACAGAAGGAAACAAGGCAAGAGGTAGGGAATAAAGGGGCTGAGCAAAGGTGTACTTTGGACCACAAGATCACCAAGTCTTTCCAGAGGAATCAAAGAAACACCTGCAATGTTTCTGCGGCAGGAAACAGCTCGACCTGTTGGAGAAACTGGGAAGGGGGTCGGGGCAGTAGGATTGCAGGTGGGGGTGAGAAATGAGGACAAACCTGTGTGGTGGGGGTGTGAAAGCAGATTGGCAGGGCCTTAAGGACAAAGGGGGTATGCATGACTAGATTTGCACTTTTAGATCACAAAATCACGCCCTGAAGGAGAGTAGACTGGGTGGGAGGTGGTGGGGTGAATGAAGGCTGAGGACCAGCTACTTGGTTATTTTTCTAAGAACCCAGAAGTGACGTATGGTTTTGGATTGGGGTGATGATAAGGAAGGAAAGGAGTGAAGGGATTCCGGATTGAATGTTGAGGGGGGGAAGAGGGGCAATGGAGTCCAGGGAACAGTGCGTAATTTAGTCCTGCAGGCTGAGGTTGTGTCAAGTTTAGAAGGAAATACAATTGATAAAGTAGCAGATGTCCATCAGGGAGGTTGAGCCCGGAAAGGACCTGGGGCCAGAGGCGAGTGTGTGTCCAGTTTAGTGAGCTATTGGGGAAGGTGTCTAGCCTGGTGGACAGGTTCGATTCCAGACTCTGCCAGTTCCCGGCTGTGAGGCCTCCGGAAACCGACTCCGCCCCTCTGTGCCTGTCTCCTCCCACCTGCGAGGGCTCAGATTAAATTAGCTCATATTTTCAAAGCACTTAGAGCACAGTAAACGCTTACGAAATGTCTGTTAGCACTCATTCCTTTGCCGGCACTACCCAGAAACAGGAACGAGACTCAAAGGAAGACAAATCTTGTTTCCCACGCTGGGAATCAAACTGAAGCGCAGAAACTGGGATCGCCCGCGATGCCCCGCCCACCGCCCCGCCCCGCCCCGCCCCGCCCTCCGCGCCGCCCCGCCCTCCGCGGTGCCCCCGGCCCCAGCAGGCCTCGCGCGTCACGCCCACCGCTTCCGCGCACGCGCGGCTCCGGACCGGGCTTCGGGTCGCACTCCGCGCCGGACGGTGGCGGCGACGCGCTCCGAGCGGCTGCCCTGCGTCGCGCGCATGCCTGGAAGGGGCGGGCCGCTCTTCTCTCCAGGCGGCGGCTCCGATGCCGCTGCTGGGCCCAAGATGGACCCCCCAACGCTGCTCGCAGCCCCGACCGCGCGCGGAGGCCAACATGGCGGCGGCGCTGCGGGCCGGCTTCGCCGAGGCGCGGGGCCGCCCCTCAGCGGGGCCCTGGGCGCCGCCGCCTGCTGCTGCTGAGGGGCCCAGAAGATGGCGGGCCGGGGCCGGGGCGTGAGGAGGCCCCCGGGCCGAGCCCGCCGCCCCCCGAGGACGGCGGCGACTCCTTCGTGGTGCTGCTGGAGGTGGCGCGCGGCGCCGCCGAGGCCCCGGGCCGGCGAGAGGCCGAGCCCCGCTCCGGCCCGGCGCAAGCCCCGCGGGCCGCCCGGAGCAGGGCCCAGTGGCCCGGCCGCCGCCCCGGCGCGGCCCTGGCGGGCACCGTCACCATCAACAACCAGGACCTGCTGGTGCGCTTTGACCGCGGCGTCTTCACGCTGGCCGCCGCCCCGGCGTCCGCGCCGCCCGCCGGCCGCCCACTCGCCAAGCCGGGCCCCGAGGCCGCCAGCCCTGCCGCGGCCCGCCGGGGGCCCGCGGGCGCCAGCCCGGGCTACCGCTGCCCCGAGCCGCAGTGCGCGCTGGCCTTCGCCAAGAAGCACCAGCTCAAGGTGCACCTGCTGACGCACGGCGGCCTGCAGGGCCGGCGGCCCTTCAAGTGCCCGCTGGACGGCTGCGGCTGGGCCTTCACCACCTCCTACAAGCTCAAGCGGCACCTGCAGTCGCACGACAAGCTGCGGCCCTTCGGCTGCCCGGTGGGCGGCTGCGGCAAGAAGTTCACCACCGTGTACAACCTGAAGGCGCACATGAAGGGCCACGAGCAGGAGAGCCTGTTCAAGTGCGAGGTGTGCGCCGAGCGCTTCCCCACGCACGCCAAGCTCAGCTCCCACCAGCGCAGCCACTTCGAGCCCGAGCGGCCCTACAAGTGTGACTTTCCCGGTAACCGCGCGCCGCGGGCCTGCGGGAGGGCCGGCTCCCCGAGGACCGGCAGGGGCTCCCTGGCTTAGGAGGAGGCTTGGGATTAGGGTCGGTCCTCAGGCTGCCTCGCGGCCGGCTGGGCACCGTGACGTGGCCCCCACCAGTAATCCCGGCGTCCCTGGACAAGATGCCCCCCGCTGGTGAGGGTGGTGGCACATCACCGTAGAGCCGCGTACGAGTCAGGTGTTGGTTTACCTCGGTGTCACCCATGGGAGGGACGAAGGTGGATGTGGTTCGATGCAGCGCCTTAACACATGGGGGGCCGACCACAGGCGTGTTTGTGTCTTTTCTGCTTGGGCTTGGCTGGACTTCACAGTTTGGAGAAGTTTTAAAGGTTACCCTTCTGTGGAGTTTAAAGCTCCTCGTTGCACACGTGAAGACCCTGAGACAGAGTAGTGTGCATAAAACCCACTGCCCGGTCTTCCCCCGCCGTGTTCACCTGCGCGGCTGGGAACGTAAGAGGCCCACCCAGCCAGTTCCTCACCAGCGTGGGCAAAAGGGTGGTGCTGGTGGAGGACAGTTCCCCGGGGAGAAAGAGCATTTCTGACTGGCAAGGCAGGACAGAGGGCTAGGAGTGGGCTTAGGGGCCCTGGGAGGATGAACCACAGAGCCCAGGTTGGGGCGGGTGTGGGGGGGCGATGCATAGAGGAGCTTCCCTGTCCTGTTCCTTAAAATGTACTTGAGTGAATGTCCAGTGTGTGTATTAACACATACATCCGCTGCTCTCCTAATGACATATGCCCTAGAAAGTATACTCACGTACAGGGTTTTGAGTGGCATGACATGTTAAGATTCTATGTTTTCTTCTCACATGCTCATGGACTGCCCAGCACATCTCTGTGGAGAACATTAAGCCACTGACTCAAAACCTTTTTCAGTCATACACTTTTGTGAGAATCTGGTAAAAAGAGCATCATAATAGGAAGGTCAGGGATCCAGCTCAAGGCATGAGGTGCCCCTGAGGGTTTTGTGTTGACTAATCATTGGGCTTCCATACGAGCTGGGGAGCGACAAGTGATACACCATTAAATGGCCTAGACATGAATTTTTTACAGTTGAGCCAGGGGATGGCCGGGGGATTGGGAGAAGCCATCTAGAAAAGATCATCGAGCTAGGGTGAAAGGGTATGGTCACTGATGGAGTAGAGGGGTTTCTGTAAGTCTTGAGTGTGTCAGGGTTCAGATTTACCTGATAATTGTGTGAACACACCAAAGCCCCAAATAGGAACAGGCCAATGGGCAGATTGAGGCCAGAGAGGATGGCTTTAGGATGTTTAGGAAGATTACCATTTCCCCATAAAATACTGCCAGGGGAATTAGGGAGGGGTTCCTCAGGCTGATACTTTTATGCAGTGCTGAACAGTGTACTATGGTTCACGGGCACTGTGATAAAATGTTAAAGGCTCTGAAAAAGAGGTGCAACAAAGATACCTGTTAAACATCTTTCATCCTCATATTTCCACCTTATTTGAGCACTGAACATTGTTGGTAAAGGAGAAGTGCTGATGTGGGCAGTACAGCTGGGGACTGAGGATGGGGGTGAAGGAAAACTCTAGATAGGTGAAGATGGCAAAGCAGCATCTGAGGAAATGGACAAAAAGAAAAAGAAGCCAGATAATAAGTTGTGGGGCTGGCAGTTACAGAGGGTGTTGGAGGTTGTTAAAGAGTGAAGGATGCAGCATCATCTCCAAGGGCATGCACAGTCTTAGCTACCAGGATGGTTTTCAACCCTACAAAGCTCAACTGTACCACACAAAATCTTGTCTCATTAGTATTTCATTTCTCAGGGTTTTCTTGGGTCTCTCACATGAACAACATTGACATTTGGGTTTGTGGAAGATAAACCTAACGTGTGCAAGACCAGTACTTAGAACTAGTGAACAGGTGGCTGTGATTGGAGGACTTCCTCTTGATCAGTTGTTCATTCTCCAAGTCACATTGCAATAGGTGACTTGCGTGTGCTTATGGGCAACATCAGCCACCTGTATTATACAAGCCAAACATTCATGGTCAGGACTTTGTAGAAATGGCTTCTGGGTCATGTTTTTCCTCGTGCACTTCATTGTGAACAGTGTCCTGGGATTGTGACTAGCACTAACTGCACTGTATGATTTCTGTCTTTCCGTGAGCAGGGTTTGTGTTTTCTTTTGTTCAGGCTGCGAGAAGACATTCATCACAGTGAGTGCCCTGTTTTCCCATAACCGAGCCCACTTTAGAGAACAAGAGCTCTTTTCTTGCTCCTTTCCTGGATGCAGCAAACAATATGACAAAGCATGTCGACTGAAAATTCACCTAAGAAGCCATACAGGTAGTGAGCTAGAGAACACAACATCATATGACTCAAGGTTTGTCTTTGCAGTAACTGTTGGCATTTATAATTACACTATGCATTTTTTTCTTTTAAAAGGTGAAAGGCCATTTATATGTGATTCAGACAGTTGTGGTTGGACTTTCACCAGCATGTCCAAACTTCTGAGGCATAAAAGGTAATCCTTACATTTTTGTATGTTTTTTTATCAGCTGTGAAAATTAATGAATTGTTAGTAGTAGAAACCTATGAATGTGATAACTGTAGTTCTTTGGGGGTTATTAGGAAGTAGTCCAAAAATGTTTTGAATAATTGGAAAACTTTAAGAAGAAAATTACTAAGAATTTCATCCCCTAAAGACAAGGTTCTTTTCTGTATATGACTTTTTTTTAAATTTAAGCAGCATACTTTACATACAATTCCATTTTTTTTCTTTTAAATTCTCACGGTCATTGCAAACTTTTCATGGTGATAATGACAACATTGGCGCCTGTGTCCAAGTGACGTTCATTGCAGCTAGTGCTCTGTGTACACTTCTCACAGTCCTTTGTGGCTTGGAAAGCTTGTTGGCCATAGGGATTTCTAAACAATGGAAACAGCTTTATCAATACATTTGGGATTCAGCCGTTCCTAGGTTGAGGAGGTGCTAATTGTTCTGTGTCTGACTGTGGGGCCAGCTTAGTCATTGAAGTAGAATTTCTAAATTATCAACCTCATGTGGATTGAAGATAAAGATTTTCTGGAAAGTGCACTGATCAGTTTTTAAATGGAAAGAGCTTGTAGTTTTGTATATTTTGCAGAACTTTAAACAAAGAAACACTTCTGAGGCCTTTTGCCTATGAGTTGTGTGAGTGATCACTACTCCTTTGTGTTTCTTTCTGGCAGGAAACATGATGATGACCGGAGATTCACCTGCTCAGTGGAAGGCTGTGGGAAATCATTCACCAGAGCAGAGCACTTGAAAGGCCATAGCATAACCCACCTGGGCACAAAGCCGTTTGAGTGTCCTGTGGAAGGTAGAGTTAAAATGTTGCTTTGAGCTGTGAACTGAATACCACACAAACATTCATGTTACGAGTTTAAGTTGTTTTAAGGTGAGTTTCAATTGCCTAAATGCAGCATTCCATTTCTCTGACTCATTGAGTAGATCAAACATGCTGTCTCAGAAAACAGCATATTGAAAAGAGCGCAGAGGGAGAACTGACCGCTTCCCATCTGCCCTGCCACTCACTGTCTGTGACTCTAGTTATGTTACCTGTGGAATTCAGTGGTTATGAGGGTGAGTGAAATCACTTAATGCTTTCTTTCACATCTGGCACATAGCTTGGACTTGCTAAGTGGTAGGTAGCTACTCTTATTGCCACTGGACAGCAGTAAAGCTGGGCTGACTTGAAAGGGGTATTCGTAGGCTTTTTTCGTTAAAATGCTGAAGGCATAGTTCATTTGCCAAAACCTGCTTGTGGTCCATGGAGAAGCAGTGACCCAGGGTAAGTTGTACAGTCCCTGAATTGATGTCCTCAGCTTCTGTCTCCTGGCCTCAGTTTCCTTGACTGGAGGGGGATAATTAGGTCAATTTAAAGCTGAGACCAGAGTAACCAAGCTACAGTTCCTCCTTCCATTAGTGTTCCAGTTGGGGGTGTGAAGTGGTGAACAGGAATGGGCAAGGGATACAAAAGGTTCGCCTTACTACTCTATGGGAAGGAAGAAGAAATAGCACAACACATGGGGATGGGTGTTGGAGACAGAAAGACCAGTGTGAGAGACTCTCCCAGAGGTGCAAGAGCAGCAAGCCAAGTGCTTAAAGTAAGCAATTTCAGTCTGGCTTATGACTGAAAACTTGTCTGTGGGGAGGTCCTGCAGTCACTCTGGAGACTTGGATATGCCTGGGGAGGTGGGGAGAAGCACATCAACAATGAAGTCAGACCGAGTAGTGCATGGCAGTGATTTGGACCAAGGTGGGGGTTGAGGGAGAGCCAGTAGTTAGGTACAGTATGTCAGCCTAGGTGGGAACACAGCCTAGTTTGGAGGAAGGGGAGTTTGGTTTGGTCATGCACTACAGTTTACATACCTTTGGCTTTGCAGCTTAGAAGCAGGGTATGTGTGCTCATGGGGCTTGGTGAGCAAGCTGGATTGGGAGACAAGCAAGCACATGAGTCCTCACTCTGGCCATGGAAGTGGAAGGAATTCTCAAGGAATGGTGTAAATCAAAGAGACACACAGTGCAGGGTAGTGACTAAAAGTGTGAATTCTGGATTTACACTGCCTGGACTCAGGTCTGAAGTCTGCCACTTAGTTCTGGGACCTAGGGCAAGCAATTAAAGCTTTGCACCTCTTCTCAGTAACAAAATAAGTAAAACTTCATAGGGTCGTTGTGAGGATTCAGTTAGTTGGTAAGTTTAAAGCATAAAAATCATCAGTATGCGTCTGTTACTATTGTTATGATTGTTGTTACTTTAAAGAAAGCTTAGGACAGCCCTGGGACTGCTGCTACAGATTGTAGTGGTAAAGTGGAAGGAGTGCCTTGCCAGGAGCCCTGAAGGTGAAGGTGGGGGCTCATAGTACCCAGGCTGGCCAGGGTCAGGGACCACACGGGAACATGGTATTGAATGGTAAGTTTCAGTGGGATGACTCAGGCAGACCCTGTTCTGTTGTCCTACAGGATAGCCTCAGCAGGAGGCAGGGGACCGCCTGTGCTGCCAGATCTTACAGAAGTGACTGGGGAAAAGAGGAAGGGGCAGAAGTTGGCTGCACAAGAGAAAGCATTTGTTTTAATAGAGTTCTGAAGGAGCTTCAGGCAGTCTAGATATTGAGGTTCTGGTAGAGAGACTGATGGTGATAGGAGAGTGAGATGAGCCAGCAGGGCTTGGCTGAGGGCCATCTCCACGAGGCAGTGTAGATGGAGTTGGGAGCCTGGTGCAAGCATCCCAGACCCCTTCTCAGATTGATAAGAGAAGTTAGTCCCTCCATTAAGACCATCCTTGGCATGGTGGGGCAGAGCTGCCATACCCAGGGCCTGGAGGTGAGCTGTTTTTAGAAAAGAGGCTATAAAGACAGGTTAGGGCCAGATGAGTAAAGGCTGCTTCTGAGTGTAGTTTTGGTCTTTAATTCCTTCCTTTCTCCCCTCCTACTCCCCTCTCCCCCCTTTCTTTAATTCTGATTTTCTTTAATTCTGATTCTCTTTTCTCTCTGTACTGAGTTTGAACTCAGGGCCTCATGCTTGCTAGGCAGGTGCTCTACCACTTGAACCACTTTGTCAGCTGTGGACTTTAATTCTGAAATGGGGCTTTGAACTTGTTTCCAGGTCGTGCTCTGTTGGTAGGTATTGCTTTATTTGGTCCTCATGATACCCATGTAAGGTAAGTATTAGTCTCATAGAAAAGAGAAAGGATGCAAAGGATAAATAACTTGTCTAAAGCTTTACAGCTAGTAGGTGGCTGAGCTAGAGTTGGGATGCAGCTCCCTCAGCCTGTACCTCTTCTGCTTTGCTGAAGTGTGGCCCCTGCCACTCATCCAGGGAATGCCACCTACCTCACTGTTTCCTGCTCATGAGACTTTTTTTTCTGAGTTCTCAGGAAATGTTCTACTTACTCTATTTCCAGAGTACCTTTGTTGTTTCCACACTGGTTTTATTTTGCATTTTATCATAACAGATTGCTGTTCACAGATCCTACCAGGTCACAAGCTTCTGGCTGCAGGAACTCTCCCTCCCCTCTGTGTATATGGGCCAGAGCTCTAATATAGTGGGAAGTCAGAGTATGAAGAGAAAGTAATTGTGATTTTGTGTTCCCTCCTGTGCTTGCGTGTAGATCTGAGGCAGGTGTGAGTTGAGTGTGTAAACAGTGAATGCCGTCTCTGGCTCCACTTGTGCCTCTGACTAAGGGACACTTTCCCAGTCTTTGGGCATGAGCTGTGTAGTGATAAAATGAACGGAAAATAAAATGGCTTTAGTGATGTGCTGAGACAGATGCAACTCTTAACATCATAGGATTGCAGTTTTTGTAGTAGTAGTTTAATAGAGGCACACATTTTTGCAGTTGAGCATTGAAGGAGTTCTTTGACTTAATTTTCCCAATAGCCCCGTGTAGTGGGTGGAAGAAACTTGAGTTAGCTTGGTCAGGTCACACAGGACTGTACTTTTCCTTATGGTTTTTACCTTGTGATGTTTTCCTAGGGATGTTCCATATATGTCCTTGCCAGTGACCAGTGCTTGGGAACACAGTCTTGTGATTCTGATGTGATTATGAAGTGCCTTTTGTTACTGGCTTGTTACTGGCTTCTTAGTCATTCTCAAGAGTAACTCTTGTTCCCCTCTGTGTTCCAGGGTGCTGTGCTCGGTTCTCAGCTCGCAGCAGTCTGTACATTCACTCTAAGAAGCATCTGCAGGATGTGGGGACTCCAAAAAGCCGCTGCCCAGTGTCCAGCTGCAACAGACTCTTCACCTCCAAGCACAGCATGAAGGCACATGTGGTACGGCAGCACAGTCGACGCCAAGGTCTGCATGTTTGCATCCCCACCAAGATGTGTGTGCCTGACATATGTGAGAAAACAGAAATGGTGCTGTTTCTTCTTGCCTCCTTTCAGAACTGTGTGATCCATGAGATCAGAGATGGGTCACAGTAGGCCTCTTTTGCTTCTCTCCTGCCATTTTCTTGCCTCCACTCCTGCCCCTCTCATCCCTCCCTTACGTCTGAGAGAATGTTCAGTCTTTTAACTCATGGGCCTTCCCTGGTGTCATGCTGTAAACCTGCCTCCTGCTGGAGCCTTTGTGGTCCAGCATCTCCACATTTTCTGCTCCCATCTTTACAGTCCTGCAAGACTGGCTCCTCTTCTTGGTCCCACTGAAAATTGGATTCCACACTGTGGGGATTGTTTTCTCCAGGAGGAAGGAGGCTCTCCAGGCCCAGAGCAGAATTGTTTCAGGGGTGGTCTGGAGAGAGATACCACAACAGTAGGCCAGGACCCATGAAGGGAGGTTGTGAGTACGTGAGGGCTTGTCATTTGGCTCTCTGTAGCATAGGACTTAGAGACTCACATCTATTGGCCTTGCCACAGTCCTCCAGGGATGAAGGATGCTGAGGGTGTCTGGGTGGCAGCCACGGCTGCCTCTCCCCTAGAGCACTTTCAGGGACCCTGCTGTCTGGGACGTGGTAGGGTTGACTCCTGACAGGGCCCAGCTGGGAAAGTCCTGGCCAACCATAGAGTTAATTCTGCTGCTCATAGTCCATGCAGTCTGTGTGAAGTTCTAACCAGACCCGCTTGCTGTGACCTGTGGGAAGTCAGTGCTGTGGTAAGAGCAGAGCACCTGCAATGGGGCACAGTTTCTTCCCAGTTGGGATCTTGGGTAGGAGTTCCTTGAGCCCTGCTTCCCTCATCGTTAGAAGTAAGAAATGAAATGGCTTGTTAAAGTACCTAAAGCAGAGGACTGAGCAGTCTGGGCTCTTTCCTCTGGTTTCTTCTGCTGTTGGAAATGATCACTTATTAGGCACTTTTACCATTCTGTGTTGTATTGAAAGAAACTTCCCTTCTTATAGCCTTGTGTGTGTCAAGAGTGTCACCTTTGCTTATAGAGACCCTCAGTCACCAGATCCTCCTTTCCACCTCTGAGCTGGTGCTCCGTGATACCACTCACTGTCTGCAGGCCCCTCTCCTCAGCATTCCCTTCACCCTTCCAAACCTGGCTAATTCAGAAGCTAGCAGATGAGCCTTCTTTAAACTCCAGCTTGGTAGAGACCCTCTTAGCTGCTCCTGTAATGCCCTGTTATATCCTGTGTCATGTTTATAAGAACCAAAGTATCACAGTCCCCACCTAGTAGAAAACAGGCACTCAACAAATGACTGACTACTGTGGGATTGTGCCAGACCCTCCATGGAGTTCAGTTCATCCTTACGGTTGTCCTACCACTGGTTACTGGGCAGAAAGTCTTGACAAAGTCATGCTAGTAGAAATGTCCAAGCCAGGTTCTTAATGGGTTCATTCACCTCCCAAAGTCGTGATCCTAACCATTTACTTCAGATGCTTTTCTTAGTGACTTTTTTCTTGGATGTCCTTGCACATGTCAGTTCTCTAGGTAATGGTTGTGGAATTAGTAAAATGCTAGACAGGAAATTTATAAATATAAGTTGGTGGCCCCGTTCACACTGTAAGTACTATTTCATAGAGAGTTGAATCCTCAAGATAGGAAATTTTTGAAAAAGTGATAGTTATCCAGTATCAGTTTCTCCAAAGAATTGCGCCCAGTTCCTTTCAAAATGTTCCATTGTTTCTAAGATAACTATTTATTAAAGAAACTTTGAGTTGTATGTGGTGGCTCAAGCCTGTGATCCTGCTACTTGGGAAGCAGAGATTGGGAGGATTGCGATTTGAGGCCAGCACAGGCAAAAAATTTGTGAAATCCCCATCTCAACCAGTGGCTGGACCCAGTGATGCACACCTGTCATCCCTGCTACATGGGAAATATAAACAGGATGATCTGGGTCTGAGCTGGACCTGGGCATAAAGTAAGATCCTGTCAAAAATAACCGAAAGCAAAAAGGTCTGGCAGGCAAAATGGCTGAAGTGGTAGAGCACTTGAAGGCTCTCAGTTCAACCCCCCAGTACTGCCAAAACAAAAAAGAAACTTTGTAATATGACATCTCAAGAAGATGTATTCTGAGTTTGGTGTTTTGTTTTCTTTATCAAGAGTAGATTTCTTTGATAGGTGTCTTTTAAAAATAAAGCATGTACTTGAGCAGACATTCACTCTTGGAAATATGAGTTCATGGTTGACAGTTGGAGTGGGAGAAACAGAACCAGAAAGCCCCTCCCTTGTGCCATGCACCACCAGTTAGGACTCCGCAGTGAAGTGTTCTTGGGGGTAAAAAAAAATCACAAGACCTTATGTTACCTAATTCAACTCTGTTGGTCCCATTTTCTGTTTGCTCTGTGGTCAAGGCTTGCAATTTGGTGTGATTGGTATATACTTATACATAAGCCGGAGCTTAAATGTTCATTAACTTTTGTTGTTGTTACTGGGGATTGAACCCAAGGCCTTGTGCTTAGGCAACAACTCTACCACTTGAACCACACCCCCAGCCCAAAATGTTTTTGAAGTATGTTAATGTTCGTTATTCTCCCAAGGGTTTTCTGGTTACTCTGATTACTTAATTGAATAATGAATCAAGTATTTAAAGAGTGTTACAGTAAAAAATTAAGCTGCCAGCTGCAGAGAGATCTAAAACATCTGTTTCTGTATAATGATTTCATCCTGCACTGGGTGCTGAAGGAATGGAGGTGAGTCAGACTGGCTCTTCACCCTCGAGATGATTGTGGTCCCGTGGAGGAGGAGGTTAGAGGTTGGAAATGTAATGGGACGTTGGGGGTGGAAGGATGGAGCACTGGGAGAAGAAGCCCATCAGGAAGTTCCATCTAGGAAGACCCATCTGCAGAGCATCTGGAAGGACCTGATGTCCGAGCTCTATGCATCAGCCTAGAGCTGGAATTTGCTTAGTCCAGGCAGCCAATTTTATTCCCCCTCAGTTTACTCCCAGTTGCTCAAATCTGTTTTGGGGTGATAGATATCACCTAGATAGGTAGCTATCACAACTAGATAATTATGGAAAAGAGCACAGAATTTGACAAGACAAGAGCTGACAGGAGCTGATTTCAAAATTATCCGCAGAGCCAGAGCTGGTCTTAAAACTGACTTTAAAGGCTATGTACCCTGGGAAGTTTCACAGTGTTCTTGGTTACTTGCCATGGCATAGGAGAGAGAGCAGGTTTTGAAGCCAGAAAGATTCAAATCTTCCATGCCTCTCACCAATTGACAGGATTTCAGGAAACATTAAGTAATCATTCTCATTTCCTCCAGAGAAATCCTTGTCAGCCTGAGGATTTGAAGCTAGGTCAATTTATCCTTTCCTTTGATGTGTGCAGTGGCTGACACTGTGCCACCAGCAGGTCCCAGTCATTGGTCAGTGATAACTGGGCATCAGGGTCCAGAGAAAGGATAGTGAATGTTGCCTTGAGGGTTTGCTTGCTAACATCTTAATGCAAGTTCTCATAGTCTTCTGAGGTCATAAGTAACTGGGATATTCATTCCGTTTGCAGATCTCGTATCTCAGCTGGAAACTCCAAGTTCTCTCACACCCAGCAGTGAACTAAGCAGTCCGGGCCAAAGTGAGCTCACCAACATAGATCTAGCAGCACTCTTCTCTGATGCACCTGCACACGGGAGCAGTTCAGCAGGTGCATCAGATGAGGCGCTGAACTCTGGGATCCTGACTATTGACGTCACGTCTGTGAACTCCTCTCTGGGAGGGAACCTCCCTCCTACTAATAGCTCCTTAGGGCCCATGGATCCTCTGGTCCTGGTAGCCCACAGTGACATTCCTCCAAGTCTGGACAGCCCTTTTGTTCTTGGGGCAGCAACCACAGTCCTCCAGCCAGGCAGCTTCAGTGCAGATGATGTGCAGGCCATGAGTGCAGGAGCAGTAGGCTGTTTGGTGGCTCTGCCAATGAAGAACCTGGCTCAAGACTCTCCAGCTTTGACCTCCAGCAGTAACTTAGCGCCCATCACCACACCAATCTCTTCAAGCACCTCCCGAGAGACTGCTAGTGTCCCAGAATTGCTATATCCCATCAAGGTGGAGGAGGACTTGCCTCCTATCTCGGATGGGGTCAAGCAGCAGGAAAAAAGCCATGGGCTGCCCAGGTCTGTGCTCTCCAACTCAGCAGAGAGGCACGGTGCTCAGAGGGACACAGAACTCAGTGCAGGCACCAGCAACTTCTACTTGGTATGAAGCACTCTATTCAGTCAACACCACATAGCTTACTTCTCTTACACTCAGTTTTGAGGATATTCGGGATTAATCCTTTCTATGCAGACATTACTTACTGGCTTGTAAAAGGACAGAACTCTGGGCTATAAGTCTGGAAATCTGAATTTAACCTTGAGTCTGGAACTGACTAGTTCTTACAACCTTGAGCAAATCACCTATCTGAGCCTTAAATTCTCAGTTATTTCTAAAATAAGGGGGTTTGGCTAGATGATTTCTAAGGTTCTTTTGAGTTGTGTGATTCTGTGACAATGTGTTTTCTTGAAAAATCTTGGTGCATTTCATTATGCTGAAATGTTTTGCCTTTGTACTCTTCTCTTAATGACAAGTCCTAGAACAGGAAGAATTGCAGCAGAAACTACCTTTAAAGTTCAATGGAAACTTTAAAACCATACCAAAATAGTTTTTAAATTAAGAATCAAGAAGAAAAAGGGAGCCCTCATTCTTGGAGAATTACAGAATGCATCTCCAAGTTTGAGGCTGGACAGCTATTATACTTTAATTATTTTTATATCAATTATACATTGAATGTAATTTAACTTAGTTTAAAGATTCTTGGAGAGAGTCTACTTTCCCCAGTCTTTTTGTGGCACAGTGTGAATTGATGATGACATTTATATTGTGCAGAATGTTCAATCTTACTGTACCACAACTTAAAATGTTAAATCTTCTGAATTAGGATCAATTGTGAGGGCACCTAGTAAGTGATATACTATGGAGCCAACTTTTGTTTCTGTCAGTGTGAGAGAAGCACGATCTCAGTGTCTCCATTCCTCGTGTCTTGCTTGTCGGTGGCAGAGCCATGCTTGCTAGCATGTGCTTAGGCTGATACAGGAGCTGCAAAGCAACAGGTGGTTGGCAGAGATGGGAGGTGGCCATAGGTCAGAGCTGAGTAGAAAGCAGTCCCTGGCGCAGGATGCCTTCGGACGCAACATTCTTGGTCCTTGTTGCATCTCCAGAGCCTGACTGTGGGTGGAGGTAGAGGAACCGGTGAGACCTTGGTCCTAACCCCTTGTTCATTTTCTTGCTAGCTGTGTGATGTTGGGCTCCCTCGCTTCTCTGAGTACAAATGGTGTGTGGTGAATGGGTTACAGGTATGCCATGAGCTGTAGAGAGCTGTTCTTTCTCTCTCTGTAGTGATAAGTATGGAATTGTTTTTCTTGTAAAACATTCACACATTTACAGCAGTTCAATATTTGAATCCTGTTTGGCTCCCTCAGTAAGCTTGCTGAGTTTAGTGATATACTTACTATATAGATGCATGACACTCAAAGTGCAGCATCTGTCACCAGCATCACCCCAGGTCTGCTGGGTAAAGGTGTAGACAGTGTGGAAACCTGGGGGCAGGCTGTTGTGACATAACCCTGGCACCAGGGGAAGAACAGCTTCTTTGTAAAATATTTTAATATGTTTTGAGGTTTTAGAGGAATAAACTTTGCTTCTCCAGATGTTAAAATTATGTGTATTGTTCCCTCTTGATACCTGAATGTAACATTTGGCTCTCTGTGTGCCTTTGCTGGAGATTGTAATGTGATCACTGGAGATGCTCCAGAAGCAGACTTAGCACATTTCTGTAGTTCCCTTGCTACCCTTCTTTGCTGTGTAGATCAAGTGACTGACACACTTTTCTTTGGTCCCAGGAAAGTGGGGGCTCAGCAAGAACTGATTACCGAGCCATTCAACTAGTCAAGAAAAAAAAGCAGAAAGGAACTGGGAGCAATGCAGGTGAGGCCGAGTGTGCTGCAGTGCCAATGGACAAGGGACCACGTTCTCTTGTGTCACAGTCACTGGCAGAGGAAGCACACAGAACACATGTTTCTGTGTTCCTTGTTTCATTTTTATGTTCAGAATGCCCTTTTATCAACTTTTTAATTTTATGTGAATTTCAGGAATACAAATAGTAAACAGATCCCCAGCATGTTCAAACATGCTTTATCTAAAAAAATCTTTGTGAAAGTTAGTACTTTAAACACAAGTGTCATTTATCTGGAAGGGTACTAAGGTAAATGAGCAGAGCAGGGCAAATGTCAGCAAGTGAGGAGCAGCCTGGGGCTGGGGCTGGGGCTGGGGCTGCCACTGGATCCAAGGACAGTGGGATGTAGAGCCAGCCCTGTGTGTTCTGTTGAATGATGTCCTCCAGTTCAATTACGTTAAAATACATAAAGTCAGAGCTTTCTTAAGTTAAAAAAATAACACATAGACCAAATAAGACCTGGTAGTTTGTGACCTCATCTGCCTGTCCCTTTTGAAAATGGAATAGTGGGATACAGTGCTTAAAGGAAACTGTTAAATACTTTTGAAATAGTAATGGGGAGTTCTTCCAGTATATTATTTTTGTATATTTCATTCATCTTTTATTTTTACTTAAAATTTATTTATAAAATGGGTGTGTAAGATCAGGGATGCAATTTTATTCTTGCTTTCTACTCTTAATAGTATCATAGCAAGAGCAGGCACAGTGGTGCACATCTGTAGTCCCGGGACTCAGGAGGCAGAGACAGGAGGATCATGAGTTTAAAGCCAATCTGGACTACATAGCAAGACCCCCATCTCAATAGTTAATTAAATAACTATTTTTTATCAGTTTTCTTAAAATAAATGTCTCCCTACAGTGATTGTTGGATGTGTCAGTGTTGTGACTTAGGAAGAGACACCTCCACAGTTCACAGAATGCCAATGAAGAATTTACAGGCTATAATGGAAGAAAATGTAGCGGTGGAAGTCTATAAATAGAAGTTACCACATCCTAGGCAGAGTTCATGAAGGAAAGCAGATGCCTTTATTGAACCTGGTAGATAATGGTGAGCTTAAAAGAAAAAAGAGTACTGTAAACGTTCAGGTGTATAGTATGTGTATAGTATTCATTGTGTTGCATTGGAGTAGTATTTATAGGGATGGTTTGGCTTTTTAATTGTTTTCATAAATGTTTCAGCATCATCTTTAAAAAATAAGGCACTTTAAAAATGATAGCCACGTATTGTTACCACTTCTTTTAAAATGAACAGTACTCCCTTAATATCAAAATCTAGCAAGCGTTTAGATTTTCAGTTGTCTCAAATACCATAAGTTATTTTTGTAACTGTCTGTTAGAGTCAGAATCCAAGTAAGAGTCATATATTACTTTTGGTTAAGTTTTGTTTTACTGCTGTAGGTTTCGCTTCCATCTCTCTCCAAGGTTTCTGTTGAAGCAGCTGGGTTGCCTGTCTGTCCAGTTTGCTGGTGTGCTTTTGTTGATTGCTACACTTGTGGCGTAGTTTAGCAGGTTCTTTTATTTTATTGGATGCTTCCTATAAATGAATAACTACATCTCCAGGCTTGCTCTGATTCTTTTGGGATGAGGGAAGGTTGGTAAAATTCCTTCACAGGTGGTGCTGGGCTCTTCTGGGAGGCTGCTGATTGGTGACTAGCACCTAGCTCCATTAAATCCTTGGGTTTTGCGGAGAGATGGTGCTTTGATTCTGTCAGTCCTCTATTGTTTATTAGCTAGAATACGTGTGTAAAGAGCAGCTTCTCAGTTCTTTACCCTTGAGGAACAAGGAACAGTTCATATAAGAAAGATGAGATTTTTGAGTCTTCATTAGGTTTCAAATAAAATTTGATTTCTCAGCATCTTCCCGAGGTAATCCAAGTGTTATAATGCATTCATTGTTCTAAACATTTACAGACTTTTAAGAGAAATACAACTGGGGCACCTGCCAGATATCCAAACTTTGTGTGTGAAGGCAATGAGAAAATGTCCCTAAAAGAATGAAGGCTGAGCTTCTGCCCCATTCTTATCCTCCTGAAAAGCCCTCTTGAAATACTGTGACCAGCCAAGAGAGGGAGGAATCCATGTAGAGGCCACAATTCCTTTAATAAAACCCTTCCAGCCAGTTGTGCTTTTCCAAATCTGATGTTTTATTTGCTGTGATTTCAGACTTGGAGAAAACTACTGCCTTGGGCGGTAGTATTCTGCATGTATTGTCATATCTCAGTGTCTCAGCTGTGATAACTCATTGCCCAGCTTTCCCTTCCCATCAGCCTCTTTTGTTACCCTGGTGCATCTATCATACTGAGAGCTTCTGTTGCACAGTCCTGGGAGCTGAGGACAGACTTAATTTGTTGACTAGGTGCTCACCAGTGCCCTTCTCTGACCCTGGTCTCCTCTAGCTCACATTGAGGCCTCAGCCCTTCCTTGCTTGTCATGATGCTATTGAAGAGGACAAGTCCACCACTCTGTGAACTGGTCCTCTATTTGGGTCTCCTGACACTTTCTTGTGATCAGACTGGGGTTAAGGTCTGTTGAAGCTGGTGCTGAGCCCTCCCTACTGCGCCATGCTGGGCGCAAGTGTGTTGATTGGGTCCATAGGCAAAGGTGGTATCTGCCAGCTTCTTGCACTATAAATGTCTGCTTCCCCCTTGTGATTAGTAAAAATTTATCTTGAAGTAGTTATTTTGAAGTTGTGTGCAAAGTTTGCCCCTCACCTCCAAAGCAACCCTTAGGTTTGGTAATTCTCTAGAATTCACAGAACTCATTAAAAGCTTTTGTACTCACAGAGTTGATTGCAGCAAAAGGACGCTGCAGCCCAGGGAAGGGCCTAGGGCCAGGTCCATGAACATATTGAGCTTGAAGCTTCCCAGTGTCCTCTCATGTGTGAACAGTTGGACAATACACACACAGCATTGTTGAGCAGGGGAGCTTTCTTAACGCTTGCTATCCAGTGTTTATTGGGACTCAGTTGAATAGACTGGCTAACTTAGTCTCTAGCCCCTCCAGAGTAGAACTGGCACTGGGTGACTCAAAGTTTCCACTGTACCTCACATTGTTTGCATTGGCTATCCGAAGTGGTCCAAGGACCCCAGGGAAAGTAGAGTATTCTTACCAGGTAGAACATTCTAAGAGTCTCCAGGCTACCTCCAGGAGCCCAGGCAGGGTGAGTCCTTTACCCTGTACTGCAAATACTCCATTTCTCTTTAAACTTTCCACTGATTTAATAGCAGTGGATTTTGCTTATGGAATTATTACCATGGTAGTCTGCTGATGATTTTCTATTCCCCTCATTCTTAGGCATTTATTAATTAGAATTCTTCTGTAAAAAACAGCTGTCCCTTCTCTTTTACTTATTTGTGCATTCCATTAATGTCAGTATGGACTCAAAGGTATTTCTGTTACTCTTTAGGTTATAATCAATATTTTATGAGCATTTATTTTGTTTCTCCTAAGTGTTCCAGATTCAGCCAGTGGGAGCTCCTTAAGTTGGATTCTTATGCCTTTCAAGATACCCTATCCAGGCTTTTTTTTTTTTTTTTAAGCACTTTTTTACTTTCTGGCACCACCAGACTCATGTTGTATTATCCCTGCCTTAGCCTGGAGTCAGACGCTTTTCCAGCAAGTCCTAGTCCATTTTACTGGAGAAAGGCATTTAGATCCAAGATGTGAATGGGTGCATTTACTGCTGCCACGGTGTCTTGTATGAGGAACTCCAGTGGTCAGTGCTGGGAACTAGAGTGGTGCATGTTACATTCACCCACATGAGCTGTGTTTTGAATTCAAAATATTTCTGATTTTAGAAAAGGTACATGTATTACTTAACACTCCTTATTACTACATTGGTACTTTTTAGCAAAATATATTCATTCATTTAAATAGGATCAAATAAGATTGTCTGTAGCTTCATATCAGTTTTGCTGCTAAATTGTTGGTACCAAGCTTGGGGGGGAAGTTTAGGTTTTGGAGGGTTTTGGATTTCAGAATTGTTGACCTGGAGTAAGTCCAAAAACAGAAGTCATAACTCATTGGACTAGATGGAATCAAGTCATTTAAACACAGGCAGAACTTCATGGCTGTAAACCTTGAAGTTAAGAGCAAAGGTATGGATTTTACAGAGTGTGCTAATGCGATCAGATCTGAAAGCGAAGGCTGCCCACGTTGTGTTGCTGCTATTGAATATAGGCATAAAATGAGTGCCAGTTTCTTTATCTCAAGATTGAGGTCCTCCCTTCAAAATAATTATCCCAAGTGGTTTTTCTCAACATAAGAATGTCAAGTTTTATTCCTTAAACTGCTATCAAAATCAGCTTTAAAAAACAAAAAACAGAGCTGGGTGCTGGTAGCTCATGCCTGTAATCCTAACTCCTTGGGATGCTGACATTGGGAGAAAATCATGGTTCAAGGCCAGCCCAGGCAAATAGAGACCCCATCTCCAAAATAACCAGAGCAGTGGACTGGAGGTATGGCTCAAGTGGTAAGAGTGTCTGCTTTGTAAGCACAAAGCCCTGAGTTCAAACCCCAGTCCTACCAAATGGGTGTGTGTGTGTATACATAATGTCCCCCAAAGGGGACAGTAAACAGCAAGAAAACTGAGGGTATCTGTGTCACCATAAACATAGGAATATGACTGCCCTGCCAAGAGACAAAGATTGAATATGTCATAAAGTAAAACCCTAACTACATGCTCCCTAGAAGAGGCACACCTCTATGGAAATATTTGGGAAGATTAATGCTACAGGGTAAAACAGGACAAACCACAAACAAATCACAAAGTGTGGATTAACATCAACATGAAGAGTATAGAATTCAGAAAAAAGATTGGAGACAACGAAGGTTTTCCTTATTTTGGTGGTGGTTCCGTGTACATCCCACAGCAGACTCAAGAACATAGGAATATTTATTTGAAAGGAGTATAAAGTGGAAACTGAAACAAATCTAGGATAACTGAATAAGACACAGCAGCTCATTGAAGATC